CAAGATAAGTGAGAGTTGGTAGGATGACATATATAGTTGGGTGAATTAGAGACAACAAAGGAAGAAACCTCTTTCTTCTTCCTTAACTACCATCGCTGTTGGGCTTTTTAAGCAAAGTTACGCCTTGGGCCTAGAAGTCCAATGGGCCACTCACTACCCTTATAATGCACGAATTTTAGATTTTTATCTCTCCCACTCAATTACAGTCGAAAAAATTATATTAATTAAAAGTGTATTAACTGAGAATAAAAGATAAAAATCTTAAACAGTGCATTTAAAAAGTAAGTTTATCAATTTTCTCACATAAGAAAACGTCACAAATTCATGCCTTTGAATTGTTTTTTTTTTTTTTTTCTTTTAGGAGCCTTTGAATTGTTTTATGTTACGAGGAAAGTTAATTGTAAAGAATATCATGTCAATGCATATAATCACAACACTGAATATACTTTTAAAGTGGCGCACTAAGACACCAACAGTAACTTTTGGTGACTATAAATATATTACATGATACTTGGAGGTATTCCACCGTAAAATTAAGGATCTGTTTGTTTGGTTTATGAGTTAAAGCCATAGTTCATAATCTTAATTTTTAAAATTTAAATTTCTCATAAAAAAAAAACACCATAGCAAATTAAGAATCATAATTTGAACCATATAAATACCTTAAAATAAATGCACCCTAAGATTCTAACAAATGGCAATGGAACATCGATGACCGCATGTAACCTATAGTGATACTTGGAAGTTATCGGCTAGAATTGTCGATATCTTAACATGATGTGTTGCACTTGCTAACATGGGTCGATCCGGTTGACTTAGATTTGTCCTCTGATTTGAATCATAGTTCGTAATTCGCTACAGTATTTTATCTCACACAAAATACACGTAAATCGAAAATAATTCTAATCACGTGGTTCTAATTCATGAACCAAACGTACTTTTTTTTAAGAATTTTATTTCAACGGCCTGCGATGAGACGTTAACTAAGTCAATTTTCTTTATTAGAGACATTAATTCTATCTCCATGAACGTCGAGTTGAATAAGAAGCTTCATCTTCTAATCCAGTCCTCCATGCAAATTGTCTAAATTATGAGTTATTTTTCAGAGTCATGAAGTGGGATGGGATGCATTGTTGATTACGTTGAACAGTAGGGCGCTTCAATTGAACGAAGGTCGAGAATGATGATAGCGGCAAATGGACATCGTAACTTTGTGCGTAAAGACAATGCCAGAAGTTAGGAGTAACATAAGGCTTGTTCTTTTAGAGTTTAACTTGAGTATAATTCTTGAGTTGAATTTGAGTTATAACTTGAGTTGAACTTGTAACTTGAGTTTGTGTTTGGTTGTGTACATTTGAGTTATGGTTTGAGATAATAATCTTTTTGAGTTTGTGTTTGAGTGAGTCAAAACTTGAATTTGTATTTAGATAGTATTTTAATAAAAACTCAATGTTGATGAAAATTTTTAATAGGGTATATGGGTCGGGTTTTATTCGTCTTTTCGTTATCAATGCAAAAAAAAAAAAAATCTCAATTAGAATTAAAACGAAAAAGTTATAGCATTTTTAAGAATAGAAAAAATATTGTTCATTAATTTGAGTTCGAGTTTCTGAACTCGAGTTGAAGGAGAAACTTGAACTCGAGTTTTAGTTCTAAACTGGAGTTTAAACTCGAGTTTAAACTTAAAAGAACATGAACTCGAATAAAGTTGTAACTCGAGTTGCATTTTTTTAAGTTTTTCACTCAAAAGAACCCTGGGTTTTGTGTCTTGGGGTCCTCTAAAGTGACGGGTGTTGATTATGATCTTCAATGTATGGTTAACGTGTGTAAGACAGAAACAAGAATTGTGCGACTCAAGGCGAAGACTCCATATGCGATTCAGAGTACCAGTTAATTAATAAATTGGTTTAGTTTGGAATTGTTCTAAATTTTAAAAAAATTATTTTTAGCTGTGCTGAAAGAAAAAATAACTATTATAAAAAATAATGAGTGTTTAGTAAACTATAATTATAATAACTCTACTGATTTTAAAATTAATGTAATAGCGTTTGATAAATTATGAAGTTGAATTACTATTAATAGTTAAAAATTACAACTATATTATATTATACTATAATATAATATATAATTAAAATATAATATATATTTAATACAATAAAATAACTATTATTATATAATTATGATATAAAATATAATAGTATTATTAAAATAGTAACTGAAATAATTAAAAATTACGATTATATTATATTATTATATATTATAATATTATAAAATAATAATTATAATATCATATTATTAAAATAATTATAATATCATATTATATGATAAAATAATAATATTATAGTTATTAATATAATTATGATATTATTTGTTACAATATTATTATATTATGTTATATTACGAGTCTCACTTTTAAATTTAGAAGATTATAAATTATAAATTTTATTAGGGGAATTATAAAAATTTTATTAATTATATTATGTTAATTCTCACATAATTTAAAAATTAAAATTGCATTTAGATTATTTCTGATTTTAATTATAGATTCTTTAAAAAAATTTTAAAAAATTTAACAAACACTAAAATTAATTTTCATTATAAATAGAAATTGATTTTAGAGTGAAAAATAATACCAAATGCAGCCATTGTGTCATCGCGGTAGTTTTTTGAGTTGGTTCGTGGAGGCGGTGTCAACAAAAGACAGTAGCATGTGGCACACACGCGTAAGGAGGTGGTAGGTAGCATTGAAATTTTATTTATTTATTTATTTTATCGATTCTCGTGATTTTTCCTTATATTACGTGGTTTTTGAACAAAAATATTTTCGTTAGCTGTGAACACTCAAAAGTAAATTCTTTGAACAATATAGACTAAAGAAATCGATTATCACTTTAATACCAATTGATGTATAAACAAATAGATCCAAAAAATATATAGAGTTTATGGACAAGGGCGTTGATTTGAGTTTTTAATTTGAGTTGAGATGTGATTTTATGAGTCCGTTTAGTTCATTGATTTGAGTTTTTAATTTGAGTTGATATGTGACTTTATGTGAGAGCTTTTTACTGTAACAAAAAAGTTAGATGTGACTGTTTTTGAGAGTTTTTTACCGTAGTAAACTCGAAGCAGTGAAATAAATGAGGTCTATGTGAGAGTTTTTTTATTGTAACAAAAAAGTTAAATGTGATTGTTTATGAGAGCTTTTTACTGTAACAAAACTTGAATTTTAAACTCGAATGGTGAAATGAACAGAGCTTATAGTATGGTGACTTGATTTTTCCTCCTAGTCAGCCCGTTTGGTTTGAGGATTCGTTCTCTGATTCGAATCATGATTCATGGTTCGCTATAATATTTTCTCTCATAAAAAATACACGTAAATCAAAAATAATTATAATCTCATAGTTTTAATTCATAAACCAAACGGACTAACGTTTGGTTCACGAATTTAAAATCATAATTTAAAATTATTTTTAATTTATATATATTTTTTATGAGACAAAATACAAACTATAATTTGAATTATAGTATGAAATCTCGTAACAAACACTCTCTTAGTTGGCTAGAAACTGAAGGAGTTTGCCAGAGGCTACGATGAAGTTCTGATTTTTTTTTTTCTTTTTTCCCCCCTTTTTTTTAGGAATAAATGAAGTAGTTGGTGTTGAATCCTATGTGAGAGATCTTTTTTTAGTTTGGTATTTTGTTATGCTCTTCAACCGCTAGATTCGAATTCAATGCCTCTAAAAAGTCACCCTACCAGTAAGGAAAAGTGTAGTTATCCTATCATAGACATGCCCAGAATTTATATAGAAAATACAAAATCAATAAGGAGAGACACAACTTAAACTACGAGAGAAAGAGGGATTTAGAGAGAGATAATTAAGGCGTTGTTTTGTATAAAGGTTCTGAATCTGAAATCATGATTCTGGTTCAGAATTAGTATATGTTTATAAAAAATAAATAGTGATTTTGATTTGACTCACTTAAAATCAATATTTGATTAGGATAGTTATGATTCAAGGTTTGAATTCTGATGTGATATTTTAGATCATGAATCACCTATGATTATAAAACCACTCCCTCTTGGTTTTTGGTAATTCAAACCCTTGATTATAGTTATGATTTCAAAACCATGATTTGGACCCAAAATCATGAATTATAATTCTGATTCTAAAATTAAAATTAGAATTACCCTAATTTAAATACTCATACCAAACGAATCCTTAAAGAAAGAGAATGTAACTCTTGATCAATAATCAACTCTTTGACTGACTATAATCACAAACAAACACAAGTAAATATCACAAATATTCCCAAGAGATAATATTTTTTTATTTTATTTTATGAAATCCCAAGAGATAAATATAAACCTAAATTTTATAATTAAATACTAAAGATAACTATATAGCATTTAAATACCTAATACCTCTAATATCGTTCGTAGCTGCCATGCTAAATACAGACCGCATTGACATGAAAAAAAAGAAAGATAAATATTTATATGTCTAAAATGATTATTGAGAGGAGTAATTCAGTTAATGTACATTGTACAGTAATGAACGTGTCTTTATTCCAAGGATGGAATTGCAAACCAAACAATTGAATTTTTCGCTGATTCGAGTTTTTAATTCGAGTTGAGATGTGATTTTATGTGAGAGTTTTTTACTGTAACAAAAATGTTAGATGTGATTATTTGTGAGAACTTTTTACTGTAACAAAACTCGAATCAACGAAATGAATGGAGATATTTTTCTTATAATACGGCCATTTCAATGCAAGTCCCATTAATTTGCTTTGTCCGATCGGTTAAACCAAATACTTCCTAGAAAAATGATAATTTTTCATCATTGTGGTTTGAATCCACTATTTATCGTTTTGGGTACATGATGTTGAATCTTAAATTTTAATTTAGGATTCGTTTGGTTGGAGGATTCAAACCATGTGATTCGAATCATTTTCAATTTACGTGTATTTTTTGTGAGAAAAAATACTATAACGAATTACGAATCATAATTCAAATAAGGAAACGAATCCCTCTACCAAACACTTAAACAACTCACGCGAAATAGCAAGTTAACCTTTATTAATAACCAAGTTAGTGGTCGCTATTTAAGCAAAAAACAAAAACAAAGTTGCGTGTTCATTATTAATATAAGGATATTAATATTTGGAAAAAATATTTATCAACATTGGGTAAAGGCGTTCGAGGGAAAAAAAAACAGTAATAATTTTCGTTGTTACCAAATAAAATTAGTAGATTACAACAATATTTATTTATTTATTTTTTGCTGAGAAGTGGTAATACATGAGCTGACAAAAGCAATAACAATATAGAATTAAATTTTTGTTCTGTTGAAACATAGCTTTTAATTCGAACATTTACTCCACTCGGAAAAAGGAAAAAATTAAAACACCATGATTTTTTTTTTTTTTTTTGCTTGTAAAAACCAACATGTATTTACAAAGTAAATATGAACTTACTCTAAAAAAAATATCATGAAGTTTAATAGAATGAAGAAAAAAAACCATAAACTTAAATCTAAACAGTCTAATTTTTAAAGATTTACCCTTTACTACCAAAAAAGTAGTTTATTTTTCCCCATTCTAATTTTCCAAAAGCAAAAAAGTTATTATTTTCAATTTTGGGAGAAAAAAAAGAAGCTTTGACAAAATTAGAGGAACAGATGCTGAGAACAAGCACAAAGGAAAGCACAAAGGGGAAAAGAAGGAAGAAAGAAAAGAAGCGTGAAAAAGCTCGGGCTACAAACCACCAATAGAGAGAAAGCGCACGGATCGATGACGTGGCATGAAATTTAAAATCCCGCCCAAACCCCTCCAAATTAAATTTCATTTCGTGCGCAATTGAATTTCAATTTCCCCAAAAATCTCTCTCTCAGTAATAATTATAATAATAATAATAATAATAACAATTATAATAATATCTCTCTTGCCTTTCGCTTCTCTTCTAGTCCCTTCACATTCCGGATACATCGCTCTCCATTCTCTTCTCTCTCTCTCTCTCTCTCTCTCTCTTCGCGTTGAAACCCTAACCCTAGCTCACCAATCAGGTATTTCCCGTCGATTCCGTCCAATTTCATCGAATTTTCCTGTGCTTCGATCGTTTCCGCTGCGATTGAAGACTGATCCGTTCTTAAACTTGCAGGTTTCGCCATGAAAGGAGCCAAATCGAACACGAAGAAAGCCGATACCAAGTAAGTTCCTTTTCCAATTGCAATTTCATTTCGGTCTCTCGATTAAGCTCTAGAATCGTGTTTTTTCAGGCCTTAGATCTATGAATCTGTTTATTTTTATTTTCGATTTTTTGTTTGTTTGTTTTTTTTTTTCTCAATTTGTTTTGTTATGTCTTGTAGGCTTGCGGTGAATAAGAAGAGCACCAAAGTGGGAAGAGGTAAGAAGGCAGTCAAGGACCCTAACAAGCCCAAGAGACCAGCCAGTGCCTTCTTCGTTTTCATGTAAATATTCATGGCTTTAAACTTTTTTTTTTTGAAATTGTTTTATTATTTCTGTGCTTTTAACAGAATATCATTCCAATAATTTATTGGATACAAAGACTAAATAGGATGTCTTGATGAGAATTAAATTCAGTAGAAAAAATGTGTTTATTTTGCATATACGATTGGCATAATTCCACATATAATAAAAATCTATCATTATGTTGACTATATGTATTTTAGGTTGCTCCTCTATATTGTATTAATAATCTTGTAATCTAATTTGTTAACGTTATCATCTAAAGTAAGCGTCGAGTTATCTAATTTTTTAGGTTTTAATTCAGAAGGCTTTTTGCTAAAGGGAAAGAAACACATCATGTGAAACTGTTTTTCATTACATGTACACTTTCCTATAAGATATTGTCAATCAAATACTATGTAACTCATTTCCCCCTTTTTTTTTTTTTTTTGATTAAAGGGAGGAGTTCAGGAAGCAATTTAACAAGGAGAACCCTAACAACAAAGCAGTATCCGCTGTAAGTATATGCACTCTCTAACGTTTCGCGTGTAATGATCTAAAACTTGTTGGTCCTTATTCCCTCTTTCATTTATTAGGTTGGTAAGGCTGCTGGAGCAAAATGGAAGTCCATGTCGGAAGCCGTAAGTGTTTTCCATCACATGAATTTCCTTTCAAGCTGTGTGGTAGTCAAAAGTTGTATTGTTATTAACGTTGCAACAACCATATATATCTAGGACAAGGCACCTTATGTTGCAAAGGCTGAGAAGAGGAAGGTTGAGTATGAGAAGAACATGAAAGCCTACAACAAGAGACAAGTAATTTCTCAGCAAGTTGTTTTTGTTGTTTGATTGTAAACCAATTTAGTGTATAAAATTGACCCTTTGCGTACTGGGGGGTTTTGTTGATTTTGTAGGCTGAAGGTGTCAATGCGGCAGATGATGAAGGATCTGATAAGTCGTTGTCCGAGGTGAATGATGACGATGAGGGAGATGAGGATGGCAGTGGAGAGGTTTGTTTTTAGGTTCCTCTGAATTCTCTTTGGTGTTCTCGTATGGGGTTTTAGCTTTTGTTCACTATTTGTCTTTCACTTGTTTGCAGGACGATGATGAGGAGTAGATTATGGCATAAAGGATAGCATAGTCACCTAGGCTGTCAAAATATTTTATCAATCCATGTTAATGGGTTTGATTGTTAATTGTTAATCGGTTCTTCTCTTCGGAATATACTTCTACTCCCTTTGTCCACTGATTTTGGGCTCTTGAATTTTTATAGTTATTATAGAAGGGAGAATCATCTCTATTTGTACGTTTCTTTAAGTCTAATGACTAGCTAGGTGATTCTGTCTTTTGTAGAGAGAAGCTGGCCTCCTTGATATAACTTTTGATGTTAACTGATTGCTATGGCCTCTTTCTTACTAACTTGTCTTTCTTTTCCACTTCTCGTTCTATTTTGTTTTCTGTTTCTTTTTCCCCCTCTCTATGTTCTCTTCCTTTATGCTTTATATATTTTCAACTTTTTTTTTATAAATTGATTAGATGGTTTTGGTTTGTGCTTTTTGCCATATTGTGGGTGGAGATGAGCTACTTGTTAGTTTATTTGAATTTGTGTTTCGTCAATGGTCCTTTTTTGATAGTTTTCCTCTGCACCCTTTTGAGCGTTAATTAAAGGTTCACTGACGTTATGTCTTAATGCAATGAAGCGGACTCGTTTAAATTTATTTATAGTTTAATCTTGATTTTCTAAATTCTGTGTTAGCTGCCATAGCCGGTACATATGGCCTATTTAATTTACTGATTTGATTTTCTAATTTGATTTGAGTTTTTAATTTGATTTTATTTGAGAGTTTTTTATTATAATAAAAAATTAGATGTAATTATTTTTTAGAGTTATTTATTGTAATAAAATTTAAATTTTAAATTTAAATTGATAAAATAAATGAGGTCTTATGTACAAGTACAAGCTCGGGTTGTATTATACTCGGAAGTTGGCAAATAGATATTTCTTTGTTTGCGGTGCGATTTGCGTGGTTTGGATCACGTTGGCATGGTTTTCTTTTAATTTATTTCAATCTAGCTGTTATTCACATGCAGCCCTTGAAAAATTCATTGACATGGTTTCTTATTGTGGTACAGAATCAATCAAGTTTACTGAGCCATCTTTTATCTTATTCTTAAGATGCCCGTTGATCTTTTATTTGATTATTAATTTGGTTTTGTGTGAAACGTGAGAACTGAAATTAGTCTTTGCATTAGCACTTCTTCTATTTTTATCGACTGTTGACATTCTGTTTCATATAATAATGGCTAAATTGACCGTTCACATTGATACTTGCCTCTCCATCACCCCAATTCCGACCGTACAACTACTCTATCTATGCGTAACTTAAAAAAATTGGAGAGCTGCAAAATGAGATAAACATGTGGATCTTCTTCATTATGATAATATATTGATAAGTCAGATTTTTTATTTGTCAGATCTGTATAAAATCACATAAAAATAAAAAAAAAAATATGAAGATTCAACAGTTTGAAAAAATTAGTTTATTGATACGTCATGTGCATCGAAGAATCTCCCCGACTATATTACAAGAAGTGAAGAAAAGAAAAAAATTGTCAAAGAATTTGAGCCAATTGACAAAGATGTCGAGACCAACTTCAGGGCCTCTATTAGGCAAGTTCTTAATTTCCATTCTTATCCGAGCGGTTCTCTATAATAAAGAGAAAAAGAGAGAAAAAAGAAAAGGTTAAGCCGTGAAGGTTTGAGAGAATGAGACTTTTATTGTTATAATAAAGAATTATGTATCAACAACAGAGGTGCAATGAAGTGCTAAGACAAATACAGGTGAACTTGACAACAATCTAACAGTGTGAGGGTTATAAACGCGATGGAAACCATACAAATATGCCAAAGGATCTTTCTTCAAAAGGAAGGATAAAACAGAATAAAACTATTTCACACTCAACACGAAAGTTTCAATTATAATAGGAGAGTATTAACCATATGTACAAGCAAAAGATGTGTGAATGGAATACGTTTGGTATAAAATTATCTCCTCTCCTTCTTGAAGGATCAACTTCTGAAGCGATTGGCAAGTGAATCACACTCATATTTGACAGTTGCTTATAAACATTATTTTCTTACTTCCTAGCCTGCAAGAGTATTGTGTCATTTGCAGCTAAACTTTGACAACAAAAATTCGAAGTGAATTCACGACGCATTTTCTAAAAAACAATGAATAGATTAACTAAGTAGTATCTTATGATAATCGGTTGATAGAAATTCAGTTTACAACTCGAAAAACAAATCTATACCTGTAAAGGAAAAGGGTAGAAAGTAGCCCCAATAGCCTAGGAACATACTCCATAAGTGGTTTGTGACAATTCAAATATAATACCTTTATCCTCCAACCATGTAATTGATATGGAGAGCAACAGTCACATAATATATAGCTTATCAAAACTAAAGACTAAATCAAATACAAAACACAAATAATACACAATTGATTACAAGAATCGTAAAGAATTAACACACAACCAATGAATATGACAAAGTCCAACATATCCAAAGGAGAGAAATAACCAATATGATACCAAAACGGGTTATTATTGAGATTGACACTATGATTCTACATAAATCTTTTGATTCATTTAAAAGTAACACTTCAGAGTTCTATAACAACACTTTTAAGTTGGCCTCTAGACCATCTTCAATGCAACCGTTAAGAGCATCTCTAATACAATACTATAATTAATGTGCCAATTACAAATTTAACATTTGAGTGTAAAAAACATTCTTTAATGCAATGTTATTTGTTATGTCAAATTTATCATATACTATATTTTGTGACAAATTTCCCACCACATATATCATTTGATTATTATTGGTTAAAATATTTATTTTTTCATGTAATCATTGTAACTTTAACATTTACAAACTATTTTAAAAATAAAAATTTACTTTTAACAACTTTCAAAATTTCATGATCATAAGAAAAAAAAATAAATTTAGCATTTCAAATAAGAATAACATTATATCATATTTTTTTAATGTCAAATGTACAATTAGTATTAACATTTACATTAAAAATAGTCTAATGTATTTCACATCAAATTCTTGTTTCAATTTTTAGTAAATTAGTGGTATTAAAGACATAAAAAGGGTTGTGAGAGAGTTCCTATTAATAGTGGATTTGTCAACTTATTGTGACAAAATTATAGCTCGGGGACCACCCTCATATAATCTTATTTAGGTGGTTAACCAAATAACTAAAGCTTGGCGTAAGTTGCAAGCTTGAAGAGACAATTATGTCCGAGTGTTCTTAATTATCCAAAATATAATGAACTTTTTGTTTGATGCTTTTATAACGTCAGGTGGTGCACCAACTTTCTCTGTGTCCCCAACACCAACAGGAATCTGATTCCTCTCTTTTTATGTCTTCTTTTAGTGAGATTAGATTTTTATTGCGTCATTTTATCAAATTTCTATACTTAATAAGTGATTATTGATAAAAATGTAATTATTAAAAACTTATATATATATATATATATATTAAAATCCTTCCCACCTTTTCCTCGAAAGTGTTTTTGCTTAAGCACTATTGGTTTCCCCTCCCTCAGGGGAAAAAAAGGAGCACTTCTTCATTTTATTTTATTTTATTTTATTTTAAAGCAATAGTTTGGTTCTGTTTCTTTTCCTTTTGCCGATTTAGCTATTGAACTTTTGCAATTTTGATACTAACACTATAGCTGATAGATTTTTATAGTTAATGGAAATTCTTGTGATCATATCGCATAAAGATTTGAAATTTTACAAACAAAATGTCGTATAGTTGAAAAATCTTCTACTTCAAGGATATTTAAGAGCAGTTAAGAAAACATTTTACAGTTTACTTGCGTGTTTTCGTAAAATTTTAAGTTATTAAGCGATAAAATAATTTTTAATTTTTTTAAGAAAGTCTCGACTCTAATTTTTTTTTTTTTTTTTTTTTATTGAACTCTATGAATACATATGAATGCCATATAATAGTTTCCCGAACAAAAGCTTTAAAAAACCGAAATAAAATAAAAAGAAAATAAAAATTCCTTGAATACATTGAATTACAATCTCAATTCAATTTCCGAATACTACAAAAAAAAAAAAAAAAAAAAGGGGTCAAAGAATAGGAATGTAAAAATAATTTGACGTGGAGATTGTGCAATCCAGAGTATACGTATTATTACGTAGGAGAGACCGGCTATATTGCGCGATTGGCGTCGTTGAAATGCAAAAAAAAATACGCCCGACTCTGGAGCGTCTTTTTACTCTCTCCCTCTTCGCTTTACCCTTTTTTTTTTTTTTTTTTTTTTTGGGGGTACATCGTTAAAAAGACATTCATTCATTCAGTAGTCAGTAATCAGGACTAGATAGTCAGAAGTCAGTACTAAACACTTGCTTGGAATCTAAGACTCTCTCTTTTCTCTCTCGAAGTCAGAATCTGTCAGAAGAAGAGGATCCGGGGGTTTGACAAATGAAATAAATGGGTTAAATTCTGTTAAGAAGTTGAAGAAGAAGAAGAAAGAAAGTAAGAATAATTAGAAAGAGCGAATTGATTAAGGATGGTTATGGAGTGGAAGAGTGAACAACATCAACATCAACAACAACAAGATCATCATCATCATCATCATCAGAATCATCAGAGACTGCAGAAAGAGGAAGAAGAGAAATTGATTGTTAATGGGGTTTCTCCAAAAGAAGGATTAGGGTTAATGTACGTGAAGGTGATGACTGACGAACAAATGGAGCTTCTGAGGCGCCAGATCTCTGTCTACGCCACCATCTGCGACAAGCTTGCTGAGATGTTCAACTCCGTCACTTCCCAACATGACTTCTCTGGTTTCTCTCTCTTCTCTCTCTCTCTATTTTTTTTAATTAATTGTTTTCTGGGCTATTACTATTTTCCTCCTTTTTTATTTCTTCAGTTTTAATTCAATGGGGTTCCTTGTTATCCGTTATTCATCAATCGACCCTTGTAGGCAATTCAATTTGTAGTTTTGGTTCATAGATATGGATTCTTGGTTTTGGTGCATAAAAAAGGTTATATATATAGAGGGTAGATAATCCCGGGAAATGGATTGTTTATGTTTGTGACTGATTCGAACTCAAGACCTTATTCTTATTACTTTGGTGATTGATGGTCTGAGACAAAGATATTTGAAATCTTTAACTTCTATGCTAAGTTTTTACCCTGGTGCCTATTGCTCTATTAGTTTAATTGCTCATGCTTATTCTCCATGGCTGGCTAAAACAGTCTGAGACAAAGATATTGAAAGGTTAGGCTTGCATGAGAGCAGGTGCAGGATATACTTGTATTTTTCACCATTTTTTTAAACGGTTGAGTAAGGCGTGGTATTGAATGGGAGCAGATGTAGAATAGAATTTTTATTTTTTATTTTTGATTTAATGAACTTGGAGTAATATATGGTGTAAGCCAGAGATTGTTTTGTTCTTTTAAATTGTGTAATTGTGAGTTCTCAAAGCTATTGTACATGGTGAAGTGTACTGTTTTCATAAACACATAACATTTTATGTTAAAGTTTCAGCAAAATTTATCACACATTTTTCGTTCTTTTTGGCTCTAAACATTTTTTTTTTTTTTTTTTTTTTTTCTGGTTAGGACTGAAACTGGGAAGTCTTCACTATGATCCACTAATGACATATGGTGGCCACAAGATTACTGCAAGGCAGAGGTGGTCACCAACGCCCGTGCAGCTTCAAACCCTTGAGAAAATTTTCGATGAAGGTAATGGGACCCCGAGCAAGCAGAAGATCAAAGACATAACCACGGAGCTCTGTCAACACGGCCAGATTTCTGAAACCAATGTCTACAATTGGTTTCAGAATAGGAGAGCTCGTTCGAAGAGAAAGCAATCCACTCCAGCTCCAAACAATGCGGAACCAGAAGTAGAGACTGAAACTCAAGAAGAGCATTTGAAGGACTGTACAAAACCAGAAGAAGCAGAATTCTGTGAGAACCCTGATCCGAGGGAGGATAATGTCTACTTTCCAAGTCCTGAGGTAGCTAGATAACTTAACATTGAAATGTTGCGTCTTTACTTAGATGTTTAATCTTAAGGCATGTTGAAATGCTGTGTCATTGATGGGAAAGGGGAAGGAAAAGTGAATATCTCTATTCATGTTTTTACTTACAAAGTCGGGAATGGTAATTTTTTAAGGACAATATGATGTAGGGAACTAGTCTTAATTTACACTTGATTTTGTTTCCCTTTGGATCAGAATATCAATGATTGTTGGGCACTTTTTCACCTTGCAAGAAGTCTTGGGTTCGAGTCACCCCACCGCGTTGGTCTAGTTGCCTTTAGGGTGTCAGTGGTCCCCGTAAGGTGGCCCGGGCCCAGGATTATTTGGGGGCTCCAACCTCTTCCCCTATAACCTTTTTTACTTCATCAAAAAAAAAAAAAAAAAAAAAAACAGATCCCCCTTTCTTATTTCATTATTTTCCTTTCCAAGTCTCTTCATTTTCCCATCACTATCTTTAATAAATTGTAATGTGTTTGAAATTCTAACGGATTTTGCAGGAGTTGATGAATTGGTCGGCTAGTGGAAGTGCCATTGAGCTACAAGCCTTGCCTTCCTGGGCAGGATTGGATGTGGATGAGCTGTAGCTGGGTCTTATATGTCCTCTTGATGATCTTTATAGATCTCATGAATTTGAGTTTGTAGGCAATATTTATTTAGAGAGACTTCCTTATTGAAATATTATACCCATAGATGGTTTAGCATTCACTGACAGTCTGCCACGTGCATATATATATATATATATATATACATATATATATATATACAATCGTGTGTGGCAGACTTGGCAAAGAACTAATAGCCAAAGAGGTCTTTGTTGTTAGCATGTATATCAGTATATGTAATCTTTAGTCTTTACAATCTGATTGCGATGAACTTGGTTTGTTGAAACCTTCAAATATATACAATGGTATAATATGCTGCTTGTAATGACAATATCATATTCTTTTCTTTTTTCAAACATTTACCTTCAAGTTTAATTGGTTGGCATACTATGGGATGAAAATTTTTTTTTTTTTAGAGGACTTTAAAAAAAAAATACTGATATTTTTGATATGATATGGTAATTTTAAAACTGTAATCTGTTTTTAAATTTAAATTTCACCAGAGAATTCTCCAAAACTTTTGTGCTGCTCTGTTTTGAGTTTTGTTCTGCTATTGTTGATCTGACACACTAGGTGACTAGAGGTATTTTCTTAAAGAGTTGAATTGATTGCTTTAATTGCTTTAATTTGGAAATTGGAAGCCATGACAAAATAAAAGAAACGTAATAAAAACAGCAAAGTCCATTTTTCCCTGAACTTGTTTCTGGTCTGAATAAGAACACAAATAGTAGGTACAAGATCCGAGTGAAGAAGATTTTAACCACCAAAAAAAAAAAAAAAAGCAATTCCTATGGCTTCTTTATCGCGTCTTTGATAAGTTCTAGGAGCATTGACTATCATCGCTTTAAATTCCTCCATCTTCGGTGGTTGAAAGTTTGTTGCTTCTCTTCCAGGAGACAAATTCCAGGCAGCAAAGCAAAATGTCGGATATGGCATGCTATATATAAAGAATATAAATATAAATATACACGTGTATTTTTACGACCAAAATACTATCCTAACACATTACATAGAACATGTACATTAACATTTTGTTCATCTATCTTATGAATTTGTAGAACTCGATTGTTAGTGACTCGAGTCCTAAATATAAAATAAAATAAAATGCCATCAAGTGTCAAATGTCTTGGTTAGTTGATGGGGGAAACTGCAAAAACTCAAACCGAGTGCTTGACATGGACTTGGTTAGTTGATGTCATCATCGTTCGCCGCCGTCGGAACAAAGTGCTATGGACACAAGTTCTGTCATTGATCCTCTGTCTTACAGATTCAGCCTCTCTTTGGTAGTTTCAACTGCACCAATTCAATGCTTTTCAAAACCAAAAAAGAAAAAGAAAAACTGCACCAGTACAAATGAATTATTAATTTCATGGTTTGACAAGATGCACTGCAACCAAAAGTTTTAGTTCCTTGGTTTCTGACCTTTGATTTTGTGGACCTCCAGCCTCCTGAGTTATTTTCTTGTGGAGTATATGAGAATCTGTCAAAGGATTTCAGAGTGCCCACTTCATTCATACTTGAGGCACTAACCGGCAAGGGATCCTACAGAAATTGAGAGATTAACAAAATTCGAGTGAAAATTTATCACCTTTAGGATGATTCGAAGTTGACAGCCCATTGCCTTGAACGGAAAAAAGAAGAATCAAATATGAAAAATTTTACCTTGCCTTTTGACTTCTTGTTAATGGATTCTTCAAGATTTTCAATTTCTAGCTGATCGACATAAAACAAGATCTGCAGGAATAGAAAGTGAGCAAATAACACTTTCAGCTGAAGAAAAAGGCACCTATATATGCACAAACATCGAGGTCTCTGTAAACATGTGTATTAAATTTTGTATTGAGAACTTACCTTGTTAAGAAGATGAATATTTGATGCATTAGTTGCCATGACCTGTACACCAAGGCAATTGCCGTGCGTACTACAGAAGGGGCAGAAAATAGTATTGAACACACATCCATCTTTCTCACACCATATACCCCGTTCTGAATTACTTTCAAGAGTTCTATCGAATAGTCGTTGATAGACCGACGAAATATCTGTTACTAGAATGGGTATGCCTTTTGATGTCCTAACATGCTGAGGTTTCACTATTTCTTTGTGAAGGGATTCTAAATGAATCTTTGATGAAGTAGTCAAATAACACATCATATATTGATGATTTCCAGGAAGGCCCAAAGGGGTTTTGCAGAGTGAGCAATGAACACGTAGTCTCTTGTCCATTGCAGAATCATTCATGGTAAGCAGTTGAGCAACAGCTGACTTAAAATTTTCTTCTACGCAGTTAGTCTCAACACCGAGGTCAATTCTTCCATTTGGCTCTCCATTAGTACAATTAGAAGCATTCGCATCGGCAGCATCATGCTGTCCTTCAAAAAGGCAGACCAGTGATGAGGAAATGAACTTTCTTCGTTTCTGGGAACAAGAATTAACACTTGAAATGTTCGATGATTCCATTTCCAGCATTGATCTGCTTGTGTCCACAGCAGCATTCTTCTGAGGAGTAACTTCAGTCAGACACTGGGCTTCTGGAGAACTTTTGTTCCAATCAGTTGAGGACTGTTGATCAAACAATAATTGTCTTGAAACAACTGAGCCGGTCACGTCCTTAGAAAAGGACCTAGGACTTTCTGTTGTAATGCTGTCACCTGCACATGGGGTCTCCTTGACAATGGATACTTCTGGATCTTCAACGGAGAATCCCAGGGATAAAGCTGTACGGTACCTGCAATTGACTCCTAACTTGTAATGAAGTTCTAACCCTTTACTAAATCTAAATCAGGCAGACAAATAATTATATTTCTTTACTAATATTTATAAAATAACTAGAGATTAAACCTTGAAATGATTCCTTTAAAAGTGGGAGAGAATATTAAACCTTCAAGACTAGACCAACTTGAAATTTTAGCTTGAACCTAAAGGCTTTGATTTAGTCCAATATCTAAAACGCTGAATGAAAAACTTAAAATTTACCTTGAATCGTTTTGAAGACTACATAGGTCAATAACTTCCTGCCAGTTTTCAGCATCTTCATTCAGTTTTGCAGTTGTCTGGAGCTCCATATCATCCTGAGAATTCAATGAGGTACAGGAGACATTATGCCTTGTTAAGGAAAGCTCTTTCTGTCCAGAATGATCAGATTTGTTAAAGTTCTGATCTCGTTTTGTTGTAGACCCTTTAATTTGATCTGCAGAAAGTACATTTTCTGAACTGGTATTGGAAGTCTGCAAGGCATTCATCATATTCTTGTTCACTCGTTCCTGCAAACAAGTTGACTCGTTTGGTAATGTTTTTTCATCCATTGAAAAAGGAAATGAAAATGAAACATAGAATCAGGCTAAGGAATGAGAACGCATAAAGACCTTGACATTGCTGAAAAAGGATTTTAATCCTTCTACTATCAAGTCAAAGTTGTCGTACTGTCTAATAGATTTCCGCAGCCATTTGGAGATGTTTGCTCTGTTCCTTTCTTCCTGATAACGTTCATCTAAATGTGCACAGTGATGAAATAAGTGGCCACAGATATGAAGAAGGCAGAATTGAAACAGTATCCAGAGAAAAAGTTGCACCAGAAAAATAAAAGACGGACGAACACACAAGAAATTTGAATGTTAGTTAAAAAAGAGAGATATATAAAAGCAGTTCGAATAGAGATCCAGCATTGAGAATGACTATATGAGACTGAAAATAATCTGAAATTAAACACGAAGTTTGAATCACACGAGGCTTCATATTGGCGAGTTATAACCAAAGAGTTAGGTTTAGAGTCTTCTGAGAACTGAGAAGGATCTGTCACCCCCCAAAAACAACTGGACACTTTTATTCCCGCAACAAAGAAAGCTCTTAGAAGGAATTCTCAGTTATTAAAGATAACCATGTCAATTTTGAATATTTACCTAGAAATATAATAGCTCCATAATCAGACCTGTGGCGGATACAACGTCCTAAATAAAAAGAAAACACACGGTTACGATAACAAATTTATCAGAGTTTATATTTATAAAACTGCTGTAGAACCTATTATTCAAATCAAATCATCCAAGGAAAAAAGGGAAAAGGAAAAGAAGTGATAATTTGCTTTTCATGTACCTGCGGCTTGATTTAGAGCTCTGAATGCTTGCTGGCAGTACCACTCATTCCCGCTTAGAAGATCTTTGGATGCTTTATGTGCATCGTTGTACTTCTTTTTTAGCGAAACTAGAATATCATTTCTGATCAATTTAGAACAATCAGCGATCACTTGCATAAGATATGCTTTCCAGAAAAAAAAATTCAAAAAAAAAAGAAACTTACACGTTGGCAAATGGGATGCCGACAATTATCTTAAGATAGTTAAGTCAAATAAAACATCCTCAGTAGGCAGGTTTAAGGTGAAATGCAACGTGTTTAATGAGGTAAATAGATAGGCAAATCATTCACAAACACAACAAACATACAAGCTTTAAGAATCACACTATAAGCGAAATTACTTGATTGAAAAAAAAAAAAAACATCTTAATGGAGCCCCTACGCTCAAACCATGGAATAAGGAAACAAAATAATGGCGAAAAATGGAATGACGAAAGGGATACAACCATCCGGGCATTGTCATCAGAGAAATCAATTCCTTCTGAAACCTGCATGAACAACAGAAAATTTGAGAAAACCTAAAAGAATTACAATTAAATTTGCCAGTAACAAAATAGAACGCCAGGACCAACTTGCGAATAACATCTAGTGGAAGGATCATATTCGCTCTACGACTAAAAATTACACCTTTCCACGGCAAACTGCCAAAAGGGCGGCCCCTTTCGTACTAGTACTGTTTGCACACTGAGCAGCAGCCAAGTCATTATTCTTCAAACTCTTAATTCTTTTCCTTCTCCCAGAAAGAGGTCTATTGACACCATAAATTGCATCGTAGTAATCCTTCAAGACCGACTCAAAATCCTCTTGGCTGGCTCCTCTTGGTTCTGCACTAGCCAATAGTAGTCCAATTAGACGAAATTAGTGTTGAATCACAACAAAGCAAAATCAAGTCAAAGCATTAATATTTCTAAGATCTCCAACATTCGTGCATAAAGGCTAATCATGAGCAACATAAAAGATCAAATTCCTTAATGACAGTTTGTCAAAGGTTTATTGTCGCAATTTAGGGTTAATAGAAGGAACAGGAAATGAACATAAACCTTACCCACAAAAAGGGACTTGTTTGCATTTAATTGAGACCATTGACCTGTTTCACACCAGCGCTTTCTTAGCTTCTCCATAAGCTTATAACTCGGGAAAAATACAAGAGAGCCACCAGGCACGACTTTAAAAATCTCCTCCAAAGATTTTCCAAGTGAATCCTTGAAAAGAAGATACAAAAGTTAATAACACAAAATAAAAGGCCTATTCCTTATAAATCAAGAGTAAAGTAGTACCTGGAAAGCATATAAATTTGCTGTTTTATAACTTGCATTCAGTGGAAAATTACTTTGACCAGAAGACATTATGGCAGACCAAACCTAAAGTGACAGTGGTGATATCTTGTAAGTTTTTTGGTAGAAGGTAATATCTTGCAAGTTGAACAACTATGCAACCAACAAAAATACTAGATGAAAAATATATATATATATATATATATATATATATATATATATACCTGAGTTTCATTATCAATTACGTGTGCAGCTTCAAGACTCGTTCCAAATTGAACACCAAGTTCAGATGAAAAAGAATTCATTGGCGACAATGTCCTAAACAGAAAAAATGCAGAAATAGAGGATATTTGGAAATCATACCAAGTAGCATATTTGGACAGTCAATCAACGGCTTAACATATCATCTGGGTATACTTACCCTGATGTCAAAATAACTGACAAAGATAATTGAGCAATGTCTTTAAACACCACGGCTGGATTTAGGCACCATAAACTTAAGGTATATGTCCAGTCGCCAAAAGCTTTCCCTAAAGAATACCAAGCAAAAATGATGGTAATTTCACGTGTAATTTAGTAGGAATTATATTACCTTTTCAGTAGCAATATGAGATCTACGTCACTGACATGCTAGACCAGCATGTCTTCTAACTAAGTAGAAAACGCCTCATCCAAGAAATGTTCAAAACCACTATTTTACGATAAAATAAATATAATGCCATTTACTACTTACCAGCATCTTTCTTAACGTATTTTCGTACAGCAAGCTGATAATCATCCGTATGAAACCCATCTCTTGAGAAAAAATAAGTCAGAGAAGAGAACAATCCTGCAAAACATAAGAAATGATATGATAGATTGACATATTATAGGACATCTAACACAACAAAATTTGGATCTTTTACCTTCTAGTGTCATAACGGCCATGCCAGTTAAATGTATTTCAGCTGTTGACTCTGTATCTGACGCATCTTCTATTGCCTGAAACCAAAAACAAAAGTTGAGACCATGCAGTTTAGAAATGGAACACATAAAATTCAACAGATTTTTACAAAAGATACCTTTGCAGCACATTCTAGCAAGATTGGAAAAGATTGTTGGGAAATATTAGCTTCTTGTAATTCTTTCAATGCCTTATCACCAGTCCAACTACAACACGTAATGCCCCACCAATAAAAGAGGAAAAAACAAACAAAATATAGACATTACAAAGTATAGGATTTATCAACTATAAAGTCTCAAAGACCTAAAAACACCTGGTTGTCACAATATATTCAACACCCAAGTACAAAAGTAGACTATACATAAATTCTTTCATTATGCTTACAGGAAACGAAGTGGACTGGAGAGAAAGCAAAGGAGATTGGAAATTTAGGACACGAGTTATGGTATATAGGTTGGGAAATGAATCACAATGGAGTTGGTATTCTAGCGGACAAAACTGTGAAGGATGACGTAGTTGAGATTAAACGAATAGGGGATAGAATTATTATGCTCAAATTGGTACTAGGAAATAAGTTCATCTATGTAATTAGTGCTAATGCTCCACAAATAGAATTGGATGCGGAAACTAAAGTCAAGTTCTGGGAAGACATGGATGACTTAGTGTGTCGTATAGGCAATGAGGATAGTATTTTCATTGGAGGAGATTTCAATGGGCACGTTGGTAAGGATAAGGAAAACTTCGAAAGGAACCACGGTGGTTTTGGTTTTGGAGCTCGAAACGAAGAAGGAAAATCTATTTTGAAATTTGCATTGGGACATGATTTTATCATAACACACATTTTTCAAGAAAAGAGATTCTCACTTGATCACTTTTAAGAATAGGAGGAACTTAAGCCAGAGATTATTTTCTCACAAGGTATATAGAACGTTCTCTATGTAAGGATTGTAAAGTAATTCCTGGAGAAGTACTAGTCACCCAACATAGGTTGGTGATCTTAGATGTGAGCATTAAGCTTTGCTATAGAAGGACTAAGATAAACCACCTTCCACGAACTCGTTGGTAGCATTTGAAGGGAATAAAGCAATTGGCCTTTAAAGAGAAGTTGTTAGAGGAGGCTACTTGGTCATAAATAGGTGACGCAACTACTACGTGGGATGCCATGGCCAGCTGCATTAGAAAAGTGGCAAAGGAGGTACTAGGGGAATTTAGAGGTAAAGGCTCCCCAAGGAAAGAAACCTGGTGGTAGGGTGAGGAAGTTCAAAAGGCTATTAGGACCAAGAGGGATTTATATAGAGATTTACCAAAGCGTAAGGATGTTGAAACTTTTAATAAGTACAAAGAAGTGAATAAAGAAGCTAAGCGAGCAGTTGGTAAGGCTCGATCTACTTACTTATATGAGGTATATAGGAAACTTGAGACTAGAGAAGGAGAGGAGGATATAAACTAGCTAGGATAAGAGAAAGGAAGTATCAGGACCTAAATCAAGTGAGGTGTGTTAAGGATGATACGGAGACAAAAGATAAGGACATTAGGGAAAGGTGGAGGAGTTACTTTAAGAAGCTTTATAATGATGATCATGCGATAGAGTTTGACGATCTTAGGTCACAAGGAGAACCTAATGTGATGTATACAAGAGGAATCAGAGTCTCGAAAGTTAACTGCACTACGAAAAATGAAAAAAGGAAAGGCATGTGGGCCAAATGATATTCTAATAGAGGTTTGGATGGCGTTAAGAGATGTTGGAATTGTGTGGCTCACTAAGCTTTTTAATGAGATACTAAAGAAGAAGCATATGCCTGATGCATGGAGGAAAAGTATTCTTGTCCTCATCTTCAAAAATAAAGGAGATGTGTTGAATTGTAACAATTGTAGAGGCATAAAGTTAATAAGCCACATTATGAAACTTTGGGAGAGAGTTATTGAAAGGAGATTAAGGGCCACAACTACCATCTCAGGTAACTAATTTGGCTTCATGCCAGGTAGATCAACCACGGACGCCATTTTTCTGCTTAGGATGCTGATGGAAAGGTACAGAGAAGCCAAGACAGACCTACATATGGTCTTTATAGATTTAGAAAAGGCATATAATAGAGTACCGATGGAAGTTTTATGGTGGGTGCTAGAAAAGAGAGGAGTGCATATGAGGTATATCAAGGTAATTAAGGACATGTGCGATGGGGTGGTCACGAGTGTGAGAACTGCTGGAGGCTACACGGCAGAGTTCTCCATTCGGATTGGCCTTCATCAAGGATCTACTCTTAGTCTTTATCTTTTCACCATTGTGATGGATGAGCTGACAAGAGAAATCCAAGATAGAGTTCTTTGGTGTATACTTTTTGCAGACGATATAGTTTTAGTTGATGAATATAGGGAAGGAGTTAACTGTAAATTAGAACTGTGGAGACAGACTCTCGAGACGAAGAGATTTAAGTTAAGTATGACGAAAACTGAATACATGCATTGTAGGTTTAGTAACTCAAGTAATCAGAGTGATGAAATTTCTTTAGATGGTGTGGAGATTGGGGCTTCTAGGAAGTTTAGGTACCTTGGGTCTATAGTGCAGTACGGAGGAGATATAGAATAGGATATTCAACATAGAATTAAGGCAGAGTGGGTTAAGTGGAAGAATGCTACGGAAGTTTTATGTAATGGCAAAATGCCTATTAAGTTGAAAGGAAAGTTCTATAGGATTGCAATCCACCCAGCTATGTTTTATGGTAGTGAATGTTGGGCCATTAAGAGACAACATATATTTAAGATGAGTGTGGTAGAAATGCGTATGTTAAGATGGATGAGTGGCCATATGAGAATGGATCGCATAAGGAATGAAGTTATTCGTAGTAAGTAAGTGTAGCACCAATAGAAGATAAGGTGTGCGAATGCCGCTTGAGGTGGTACGAGCATGTCCAACGTAGACCGCTAGAAGCACCAGTTCGTGCTTCAGAGGACATTCTTATACCTAATACTAGGAGAGAGAGGGATAGACTAAGAATTACGTGGACCGAAGTAGTTAGAAAAGACATTCTAAATCTAGGTCTTTAAGAAAGTCTAATTTCGAACAGAGCTGCGTAGAAAAGTGAAATCCATATAGCCGACCCCAGTTGGGATTAAGGCTTGTTGTTGTTGTTGTTGTTGTTTTGTATGTATTTTGTAGCAACATGATAGGAACACAACAAAACTCAATGTAATTTTGATGCTATGTTAATTTGCACAGTTCATCTAAGAATCCAAGGGTCACTTTAAAATAAAATAAACAAGTGATAGTATGAAGGACTAACTGCATCCATATTCATAGTAGAACTTACCAAGAGACATATTCTTGAAAGTCACACTTTTCCAACGTCTTTTTCCTATGATCAATCCAACTTAGAAGGTCCTAAACATTTTGGAACCAATATAGTATAAATAAATTTACGTTATGTAATTGTGAGTAAAATGGATGAAATAGTACCTGGGTCATTTCATACAAAGGTTGGTACACTGTAACATTCTCTTCGCACAGGGTTTCTAGTTCTGCCTTCAATTCTTTTAAAAGTAGAGCAACTATGTAAGAAACAAACAACTTAATCATAAGAAGAAGGTGTTAATAGTTTGTAACCTACTATGCAATGTTTCTTCTTCAATATCCACACTACCAGCATCACGAGCAATATCTTCTATATTACTGCAAACAAATAAACAAGACTAAGACTCGTGTATTATCAATTACATTCTTTGTTTTCCAAAAACAGATTACACAGTATAAAACAAAAGGAGGAGATGAAGCAGTCTGACGTACTGAGCCTCGTCAAAAATTATAATGGCTCTGTTAATTTTTACTTTCATAGCACCCCGTATAACTGGATTGATAATGTAATTATATGGACAAAATACCAACTGAGCACTATCCGCCATGGAACGTGCTGCATAATAGGAACAACCTAGGAAATGGTTTGAAAAAAAAAATCAGACATATTTGATAGAAAAAGAGCTGGATGTCAACGTTTTCTTTAACCTGTAAAAAAATGAAAATTTAGGGGGAACCTTTCACAGCTTGCCCAATTTTAACAAGATCTTCTATGTCAAAGGCTTCATGGCAACCTCCTTTATAAAGGGATGGATGGCATTTAACTTTATCTACATTTCTGTTGAAAAGAGAAACTAATAATCATGCTCAAGTCATAGTTTGTCCAACTCCAACTAAACTTGAGAAATAAAGCAATAAATAACTCACCTATATTCGAGGCATCCTCCATTTTTATCTCTCAAAAGGCGCTTGCTGAAAATTCAAACAATGCAATTTAGACACCAAGACAAAAACCTTCTTTAGAGAAGGGGAAATACAAAGGGTTGTGACAGAGAAACGAATACCATTCTTCATCAATTGTATCTTTTCCACGTATAGATGCATTAGTGCAGTAATGCTTTCGTGAGGCCTGTACCATAATGGACAAACAAGCATTTGAAGATGCCATTAACGAATCACAATATTTTAGTGAACAGTTGAATATTCTTTCATACTTTCCTCCAGTAAGCTAAACCCAGATTTCAGCAAAAGTATGTTTTTATGTTGCAATATTTCCGAACAAAGAATGCAGGGAAGTGTTAAGTACAGAAATAAGTAGCACATTAACCAAAAAGACCACAGCTTTAAAGAGCAACAATTCTGAATGAGGACACCAGTTAGTCAAACTGTCAAAGGAATTTAATCATAAAGATCAATAGCAGAAGAAACCACCAGCTTACCAAAACAGACATTGCTACCCGGTATCCAGTCTTTCGATATTCGCGAATCACTTGAGAGATTTGTGAATGTGTCCTCCTTATAAAAAAATAAAAATAAATTTTACTATTTTACTGAATTCAACACCAAATATCCTCGAGCAGCCGTGATTAGAAATACTTGTTTGTAATGTACCATAGAACTTTTTGGGAAAATTCAAAAACTAATCCAAAACATACTCGAATATCTTATTGAAAAACACACAACTTACGTTGCATAATATATGGTAGGTGTTGCCTTTGCCTTCTTAGTCTTATTATTTAACATGGTTTGGGCTGATCCAGGACCTTCTGGTGCCAGCATACCTAAGAAGAATAATAAAATGTTATCCAATAATGCGAAACCCGTAAAGAAAATAGCAATCAAAAACCCATTTTAATCGCATTGAAACAGAATGGACTTGAAATAGGACAGTAAACTAAAGGCAATATTGGACAACTGTGAATCTAGAATAATGAAAATTAGACTTCAGATAATCACAATGCTTTCCTGCGAACAATGATAGCCTAAAAAGCAAAGAGTTTTACAAAAATATACTGCTTTATTTGGCTCCATGGAAAAGCATCTAACCAACGTGAGGAAAATAGCGAGGAAACATTTGGTATGAATTCCTTTCTCTTATCCTTTAAACTTTGAAAGGATTAAAGTAAAAGCCTCGTAGAGAACTTAAAATGCCTAACCTAATCCATTCTCTCCTTCAATCCCTCTTACCAAACAACCATAAATCTTAAAATACATTCACTAATTCACCCTTATCCCTCCTTCCACTTTTTCCTGCTACCAAATAAGGCTTTAAGGTTGTGCTTGGTAAGAATGAGAGAAAATTGAAAGGAAGCAAAGGTACATAATCTAGGTGAGGAAAGTGAAGAAGAAAACGGAGGAATTTTCTCCTACTATGTCTGGTGTCGATTCCGTTCTCTAATCTCCATATTTAAAACGATTAAAAACTCTCTTTGTAGGATTTTAAATTTTTCATCGAATCCATTTCCACATCTTCTCTCTCCTACTAAACAACCATAAGTCCCAAAATCGATCCACTTTTCGCACAGATCAAACAAACTCCAAGACTCCAGATAACTGTCAACAAATCCATAAATTTGACTATAATGACTGTTAGAATTTAATCACAATGCTCCGCTGCCATATAATGCTTTGTACGATTCCATAGAAAAGGCCAGAGACCGAGAAAATTGAGTACCTGAAGGTTCGTCTTCAGGAACAAATCCGCCGCCATGATCGAGAGGATCGGTCATGGCCTTGGGGTCGGGCTTCGACTGGGACTGAGCCGCCTTGGACCCACAATGTTGCTGCCAAGCGATGGTGGAGCAAAGGAGCGAAAGCGTTTTGCCGGTTCCGGTGGGAGACTCGAGAAGCGCGTGGCAGTGGCCGTCCCTCTTTGCCCGATCTAGGGTCGCGATGACCCTCCCCATGAACGCCAACTGCGTCCCGTACGGCCGGTACGGAAACTCCACTTGAATGCCTCCGATGTGATACGCATTCTTTGACATCTTAGGGTTAGGGTTTGCTGTCGACGGAGTTGCAGAAGAAGAAGACATCTTTGGAGTTGGAGGGAAAAAGCACAGAGCTTGAACTAGAGAAGCTCCTTTTGTAAGGGGCGGGAAAGTCAAAAAGTTCTTCAATGACGAAATATTGGGGGAATGTAGAGTGTAATTAATACAATTACCCCTGTTACTTAAGATTTTAGCATTTGTGCCCCTAAACTAAAGTTCATTTGGCATTTCTGTTTCTAAACTTGATTTTTTGTGCATTTCTGAATTTTCAAAAAGAAAACAATCAGCTCGGATTGTCTTCTAAAAAAAAAATACCGTAAGGGAGAATTACACATTTATGAATTTTGGTTCAAGGTCTATGGTTAAAACTATTTTCTTGTAAATAAAAGTGTCATAGTTAAATTTAAGGGAGGCATGTAATGAAGAATTTAAGAAAGTGATAATAAGGAAAGTGGTCTACACAAACCTCAATCAATCACCCATTCATTTCATAGATTTGAGTTTAGAATTCGAGTTTTGCTACAGTAAAAAGCTCTCAGAAACAGTCACGTCTAACTTTTTTACTACAGTAAAAGGCTCTCACATAAAATCAAATCTCAACTCTAATTAAAAACTCGAATCAGCGAACTAAACGGGCCCACGTGAGTTATGTAATTTATAATCAGTGCAAATATTTTAGTTTCTTATTTCAAGATCTTAGAGATATTTGTAATTGTTTCATTTTCTTCTAATTCTATATTATTATATATCACACACTTTACTTTCAACGAAATCACGCCCCGTTCATTTTGCCGATTCGAGTTTAGCTACAGTAAAAAGCTATCAGAAACAATCAAATCTAACTTTTTTGCTACAGTAAAAAACTCTCATATAAAGTCACATTTCAACTCGAATTAAAAACTCCAATCAACGAACTGAACGGGCCATTAACATAATTTCAATATTTTTTAAAGTTGTATGATATTACTCTAAAAAAGGTCATTTCAATATTGTTTGTACCGCATCTTATAACTTACGAGGGAAAATGAAATAATAACAACTATCCAAATATAAAGTTTTATTGGGAAAAAAAGTACAATAAGACTACTGGGTGAAGTTACGATTAATAACAATGCAAGTATGCAAATGCAACATAACGTTTATCTTTTCTTTCTTGTGTGATATTTTTAAATGAAAAATCGGAAGATTCTAAATGAAAATTTATCTTGCACCCTTAAGAACTATAAATGTATTTATTCAAATTATCAGTCTCTTTACAATCATTATCTTCTTATTTTTAATCAATTTAGGTCATATTTTTCTTCGCATTTTAAATGACAACTCAAATTTTATTGCTACAGTGTTTTTTCTCACAAAAATTTAAATATAATTTTTTTACTATAATATTTTTCTCTCAAATACACAACTCAAATTCTTAACTTGAGTTGTGAAACAAACTCACCCTTAATGTTATAAATTTAAACAAAACATCATTTGACAAATCCACTTCTTTATAGCCATTTTGACATTATTTAAAGGAAACTTCAGCGTCAAATTTTTAACAAAATAATTGTGGAGATGTTTGGTTCATAGATTAGAATCATAAGATTAGAACTATTTTTTATTTACGTGTATTTTTTATGAGGAAAAATACTATAGCGAACCATAAATTATGATTTGAATCGGGGTACGAATCCCCCAATCAAACAAGCATTTAGGGATTGGATTTTCAGTAAATTGGCAGTTTGAAGAGTTATTCACTTATTTGGTAATTTCAAAGAATAAAGAATTAAACTCAGTGGAGAATTTTGTATTTTACTCTTTGACAGTGATGAAAATGCATAAAACAAGAAGAAGTAGGGGTATTAAATAAAATCCGGTAACATGTTGTCCTTAACCCAAAAAATTGTAAAAATTCCCCGTCACGGCCACAATCGAGATCGACGGGAGGAGAGAGAGAGGAGGGGCACACCAGAATCCAACAAATCCAATATAAATTGCAAATTAAAAATACTTAAATAAATAAATAAAATAAATAAAAATCGAAAGAAATAGAAACAAAAACAGAGAGAGAGAGAGAGAGAAGAAGCTCCTTCTCTTTACTCTTTCTTTTTCGTTTTCAATCGTTCCTTTACATTAATGCCCCAAATCCTCTTCAAAATCTTCTCTCTCTCTCATCGATCTGCCAACCAATTTCTCGATCCCAAGCCATCACTCGCCGATTCGTCCAAATTCTGTTATCCGTTCGTTCGATTTTCGGTTCTTCTTTTTGTTTATCATCATTTCTCTCTCTTTTTTTTTCTTGAATTATTGTGGGGTTTTTCACGTAATTTGGGGCTTGGGTTTGTGATCTGTTCGGAAAAATTGAGGAATTTGGGAAGATGGCGGGGCCGAATATGGATCAGTTCGAAGCGTATTTTAGGAAAGCGGATTTGGATGGCGATGGGAGGATCAGCGGAGCTGAAGCCGTCGCTTTCTTTCAAGGTTCCAATTTGCCCAAACAAGTTCTTGCTCAGGTCAGCTTCATCCTTTTCCTCTCCAATTCCTTTTTTTCGTCTCTTGTTATCCACGGCTTTTTAGGTTTTATGGATCAGTGTAACTTTTTTTTTTTTAACTGAATTGCCATTTTTGTCTCTTAATTTCGCGCCTTATAATGGGATATGTTGTCATTATCTTGCCTGATTGGTGAAGCTTTGGGGGGCCAATGTTGTGTGTTGAATTTATGTATGTGAACATTTGCAGATCGGAAACAATAAGATACAACCTTATTTTGATTACATTTTTGTTTTGAAACAATAAAAGATGTATCTTTGTTGTTTGAGCGCTGCTATTCAGTGTCTAATTGTCTATAGTGTATCAGTCGTGGAGAACTGTAACGTTATTAACAAAAAAAGAAAAAGAAAAAAGAAAAAATTGGGTCTCACTATGTTATGTGGCGGTTTTAATATATCGTCACTTGTGCGGTGATATGATGATAAATCATAATTTTCATTTTTCTTAGTCAGTACTATGATAATTGAAACGAAACGACCTATTAAGCATTAAGCAAACAAGATTGTTCAAATTTCTGCATGGCGTTCAACCTCTAAAATGAAAGGAGTTATAAAATAACGTCTTCTCCTTTGTAAGTAGCTTTTGGTTGCAGAACTTGGAAATGAGATATTGATGTTTTATGATTTACAGATATGGATGCATGCTGATCAGACCAAAACTGGCTTCCTTGGCCGGGCTGAATTTTATAATGCTCTCAGACTTGTAACTGTTGCACAAAGTAAGCGAGAATTAACACCTGATATTGTCAAGGCAGCATTGTATGGCCCTGCTGCGGCGAAAATTCCTGCTCCACAAATTAATCTTCCAGCCGTATCCGCACCTCAACCAAATTCAATAGGTGTTGTGTCTGCCCCACAGATGGGGTCTGTTGCACCACCATCTCAAAGTTTTGGATTTAGCGGCCCTGTCGTTGCTAATCCAAATATCAACCAGAACTATTTTCCTCCTCAACAAAGTCAGTCTGTGAGACCGCCTCAAGCCATGCCTACGGTTAGTATGGTGGCTCCAAATGTCCAGAACACCAGCATATCAAACGAATGGCTCAGTGGAAGGGCTGGGGTACCTCCTAATGGTCCCAGAGGGATCAGTCCTATGCCTTCTCCTGCACTCAGACCACAAGCTCCGGTTTCAACACTTCCTCAACCAACAGTTAACGACCCGAAATCATTATTAGTTTCTGGAAACGGGGTTTCTTCCGCTGCAAGTTTTGGAGGCGACGCGGTTTCTGCAACCCCATCTTTGAGGCCAATGTATTCTGCAAGTAGTGCTTCTGCCTCAATGGCTGTTGTTCCAGCATCCAGTGGGCCCCAATTTTCTAGCAAGAACAGTTCAATCAATTTGTTACAGGATGCAGTCTCTATGCAGCCTAAGGTTAGTCAGTTTCAGCAGCCCCAATCAGGTTTGAACCCAAACCAGCAGGCTCCTGTCCCGGGTTCTTTGTCTTTTGCATCATCGGGTGTTTCAGTGGGAACGAGATCCTCTATGCCAGGCAATTCGCAGGTTCCCTGGCCAAAGATGAAACCATCTGATGTTCAGAAGTATACAAAAGTGTTTATGGAAGTAGACAGTGACAGAGATGGTAAAATCACTGGTGAACAGGCTCGGAATCTGTTTTTGAGTTGGAGGTTACCAAGAGGTGATTTTATTTCTCATATCTTTCTTTTTGAAGTTCAATTAAGAGTGAATTCACTATCTCCCTCTCGTCTCTTCTTCTTCTCCTTTTTTTTTTTTTGCGTTTGTTAAAATATGATATGTTGTCTGTTCTCAGAGGTTTTAAAGCAGGTGTGGGACTTATCTGATCAAGATAAGGACAGCATGCTTTCATTAAGAGAGTTTTGCTTCGCTCTTTATTTGATGGAACGCTTTAGGGAAGGTCGCCCTCTTCCAGCTGTCCTTCCAAACAGTGTCATGCTTGATGAGACGTTGACGTCAATGACGGGTCAACCCAGGGTCCCTTATGGCAATGCAGCTTGGAGTCCAAGCCCTGTAACTGGTTAGAGTAGTTTTTATGTCTTCAATTTTGCTCTCATTCCCTTCCAGATGTTTCTTCATGGACAATTGTTCCTCTTGTGCTTAGGTTTGGGACAGCAACAAGGGATGCCAGGTGCTCAACAACTAGGACCTACTGCTAACTTGAGGCCACAAATGCAGACACATCCTAAGCCTGACAGTGTGCAACCAAATCAGCAAAATTCTAGAGCACCAGGTTTAGAGGACTCGTTCTTAGACCAACATGATAATGGGCATCACTCAAAACCTCAAGAGCCAGCAGCTGGAGTAAAAAAAATGCATTTTCTTTGTTGTTTAGTCCATTTCTTGCAGCTAATCATTTGCTTGAATCAGATCTCCAAAGAGTCGTTCTTTTTCCCTGTTATTAAAAAATATTTTTCTTTGCTTCCTGCAGGTTGAAGAGATGAAGAATGCGATATTGGATTCGAAAGAAAAGATTGAGTTCTACCGCACAAAGATGCAGGAACTAGTGAGTAGCTTCTATTATGATTCTTATACTTCTGGCCTTTTGATAAGTGAACAACAGTTCCAAATTTTACGCAGTTGCGTGCAAAAGGGTTGAACTTATATCCAGGCTTTTGTCTTTTGTTTCTTAAGATAAATCACTGACTGCACCATCAATGGTGAAGTTTGTCTATTGATTGTCGCTCATCATGCTTTTATTGTGAAAAAAAGATGCTAATAGTGTTTGGAATGAGAATAAACACCTCCATCTGACATCAGCAGTTCTATGATTCTGTGAAAGCTAGTGTATAGCCTTTTGATCAATCATAGAATGGCTTCTCTGTCAGAGAAACACTTGCGGCAATCATAGAATGGCTTTTCTGTCAGAGAAACACTTGCAGCTGTATTTGGGTTCATAATCAGTTCAATCGCAGTTCACATGTTTGTTTCTGTTTGTCATTTATTTATGGTCTTTGCTGTACAGGTTCTGTACAAAAGCAGATGTGATAATAAGTTAAATGAAATTACAGAAAGGGCATCTGCAGATAAGCGTGAGGTAGTTTTCAAGATATACTGAATTTTGTGACTCTCATAATTTGCATAATTTGAAGTGCTCTTGTTGAATTGAATCTGCTTTAAAATGTGTATTACAGTCTGAGTCACTGGGGAAGAAATATGAAGAGAGGTACAAGCAAGTGGCAGAAATAGCATCTAAATTAACTATAGAGGAGGCCACCTTCCGTGATATTCAGGTAATCATATTCAGCACCTTCAAACTTATTACGCTGAAGCCTTGCAGGTCTGTCTGTTTCTTTTTATGTAGTTTCTCTCATTCTCTTTCTATTATTCAAGTTCGTTTTCGAAAATAAAGTATTTTGGCTTTCAATTGGTTTGTTTATTACTAAGGAATGCTTTCATTTCTCATGTAATATACTGGATTTGATCCTTGTTAAGCTACAGCTTATTGGTGATTTTTGTTACTTGGCTCTGTACCAATTATACGGTACCTTGAAGAGTCCTCTTCTTGTGAACTTACACTTCAGTCTATTGATGTATCAAATTCTTTTAATAATATTTTTTAATTTACTCTCAGGAAAGGAAAATGGAGTTGACTCAAGCAATTGCCAAAATGGAACGGGGAGGCAGTGCTGATGGTATCCTTCAGGTAGGTTTTGAGCAAGCAGCTACGATGCTGCTATTTGAGATTCTAGACAAGTTTTCCTTTTATTGACGCAGTGGTGATATTATAGGTTCGAGCTGATCGTATACAATATGATCTTGAGGAGCTTATAAAGGCTTTAACTGAGCGTTGCAAGAAACATGGACTGCGTGTCAAGTCAAGTGCAATAATTGAGCTTCCAAATGGTACTCAAATGTCTTTTTCCATTCCCATTGAAGAAAAACACAAATAATGTGACATCTATCTGCTAAAAGGTTTTTCCAGTGTAAATATTAGAAAACATTCAAAATATTCATATTTTTAGGTTTTGGTATTCAGTTGTCACCTGGAGTATTGACTCTGGTATATTGTTTTTGATCAAACGGTGCATTTTAACACGTGCATAAGAATTTTTTTTCCTCTGTTGATTTCCTCAGAGGTATGAGGTCCACATTTTGGATTTATATTTGTTTCTCCTTCATGCTCCACTACGTCTCAAATCTTATCTGCTGGGTCGAAGGGAGGGTCAAAGGGAGGAAACAGTCCCACTAACAATCACCATTTGCAGTACTACCAATATGTCCTAAGTTTCTAGTGACTAAGAAAGTTATTGCTACACCGGAACATTACCTCTATTTGTGCTTTATTCATCCTGCCAAGATTCTTATTGTTTGTATTTGTGACACAATGGTCTTTAAGGCTGGGCACCTGGCATTCAAGAGGGAGCAGCTGTTTGGGATGAAGAATGGGATAAGTTTGAAGATGAAGGTTTGCCTTATATTTTTTTTTCCCTAAATTTTTGTTCTCCAATGAGTGCTGTCATTCTACTGATGCATTTGAAGCCTAATAATTTGAAAAAAGACATTGACTGATTTTTCATCCTCTGAAAATGCAAATTAAACTTTCAGGATTTGTTAGCGACCTCACAGTTGATGTGAAAAATGTCTCTGTCCATCCAACATCTCAACCAGCTTCTGTTCAGAGAGAAATAGCTTCCCTTGATGGTGCCTTTGAGAATGAATCTGTATTCAACCATAATGAAGACGAATATGCAAGAAGTCCCCGCGACAGTCCAGCTGGAAGAACTGCTGTAGGAAGTCCATCTCAAGCATTTTCAGACGGTCATTATGATAAAGATTCTGAAGCAGATGCAGAAACTCATAGGTGGGGATCCATTATTTATTTCTTTCACTTTTTATACTTTATCGCTCGCTTTTTAGAAAATTAGCAATTACCCTTACGTCATGATGATGCTGATTTAAAAAATCTCATCTGACAGAAGTTTTGATGAATCAACCTGGGGTGCTTTTGGCAATAACGATGATGTCGACTCAGTTTGGGGCTTTAATGCTCAGAAAACCAACGTGAGTCCTTACGTCCTGATTCTGATGCACCTTTGTGGCTTATATCAATTAAATTTTGATATATGTCATGCCTTTATTTTTTTGAATATTTACCTAGTAGGCGGTTTTTTTTTCAAGGTAAAGATGAGACAATCAATAATATCCTAGAGACTTTTCTGTATGGCGTTGACAGATAGAGCACATTTTTAATTTGAAGAAATGCTTTTTCTTTAGACAAGACAACCCTCCTCTATCCTTCTCCTTGTGAACTTTAATATTATGGTTACTTAACTGGCGCCTGGTCAAGCCTGAGAACAACAGTCCAGTAGCATCTTAAATGTGTCTTTTTTACCCCTTTTTTCGAAAATTCACCGCACTAGCATGTTTCGTTGACATATGCATTAGACGAGGGTTTCTAAAGATACACTTGGCTTTTTAGTAACATTTGTCAATATTTATTATGGTCCTTTTTCTTCTGACATGGATGTCTTGGCTTGCTGCTTATTCTCACTCTTTTGACAAGTCGCTAAACAGATGTAGTAATATTCGAAACGAACGATAGGATTCTGCTTCTACAACATTATAATGTCAATTCTTTTCATATTCATGTCATACTTCAGGACACAAATTCGGAGAAGAACAGAGATTTGTTTGGGTCGGACAGTTTTTCTGTTAACCCAGTAAGAACTGGATCCCCACAAGCAGGAAGCGCCTTTCAGAGAAAGAGCCCCTTTACTTTTGATGATTCTGTGCCTGGCACTCCACTCTCCAGGTTTGGAAACTCGCCAAGGTACAGTGAGGCTGGGGATCACTACTTTGACAATTTCTCGCAGTTCGATTCCTTCAGCACGCATGATGGCGGATTTTCTTCACAGCCTGAGAGGCTCACGAGGTTTGATTCCATAAACAGCTCCAAAGACTTTGGCCAGAATTCTTTCACAGATTTTGGCCAGAGTTCTTTCACAAGGTTTGATTCCATGAGTAGCTCCAGAGATTTCGGCCATAATCCGGAGAGTCTTACGAGGTTTGACTCCATAAGCAGTTCGAAAGACTTTGGCCGCAGCGGCGCATTCTCATTCGATGACACAGACCCATTTGGTTCCTCTGGTCCTTTCAAGGTCTCTTCGGACGTTCAGACTCCTAAGAAAGCTTCTGATAACTGGAGTGCTTTTTAGTTGGCGGTTTTATCTTTTGTCTCTCCCGCAGCTCGGTTCAGTTTTCCCCATTTTGTGTTAGGGGGTTGATAAATTCACGGTAGCTATTTTTTGTGTGTTGTATAGTTTGGAACTATATAGATGAATCAGTTTTATTATTTGTTTGTATGGCCTTCTTGTACCTTTCGTAATTATGTATTGTTTGTTTAATTTTTTCGGCTATGCAAAGATTGGAAAATTAATAAACAAACATCTTTCTTTAAAATGATGGTTGTCGTATTTTTTTCTGGCTCGTACAATTTATTTATTTATTTATTTTTTGGTGTGTGTGTGAAAGCTGGCTCCCGCAAACATTAGGGCTGTGTTTAGAATTAATTCCGTTTTTGTTTTTCACGTTTTTTGAGAAAGAAAAAATAAAAATATTTTTAAAACGGTGTTTAGCGCAATAAAAACAAAAAACGAAAATGAAAATGATTTTTTGGTTTAGTGTAAAATGAGAAAGAAATAAAAAATAACTTTTAGTCGTTTTTTATTTTTTATTTTCGTTTTCTCCTCTCTCCAGCATAGAGAGAAAGAGAGATATTAATGGGTTCTTTACACTAAAAATAATCTCTTAATAAAACTACCAAACACATTTTTAAAAATAACTTCTATCTGAAATTGAAAACGTTTTCATTTTTATTTTTATATAAAAAATAAAATTATTTTAAAACGAGTTCCAAACACGCTTTAACATTTCCAATTATATAGTATTCGATTTGTTTCTTTCCTTAAGAGTACATTTTGGTCTAATTGGCAAGCTCACCTGTACTCTATTTCTCTTTTTTGTTGTTGTTGGTTTCATATACTTTTGTACTTCCATTCACCTGTTGAATTATCCATGAATATTGATTTATTAAAAGACAATTGAAAACAAGAAAAGCGAAAGAGTTTGAAGAAACTCTGGACTGCACAATTCCAATGGATTATTACTATTTTTCTTTTTTTTTGCCATACCAAATAATTTTCAAAATTCCAATTTCAAAAAAAATATGCACATTTTACCGTACCAAATAATTTTCTCTTTTTTTGTGAAAATTTCCAAACTAATTACTGAAACTAAGGTAAAACATCCCGTTTGATTCACTTGTTAAAAATCAATAATAATTTTTAATTTAGACATTTAAATTTTAAATTTTTTATAAAAAAAAATATTATAATAAAATTAAAACTATAAATTTAAACGCAACAAATAAATAAGCTCTAATTAATCAGCTTACAAAGACATCAATGTGGGTGATTTCTTTTTTCTTTTTAAAAGAAAATAATAACAAAACAAATTAGACGGCGGGACAAAACGACATCAGACAAGCAAGCATCAGCCAATTTCTGAAGATCCGAAGTTCTGAACATAACGGCAGTTGTCGACTTGTCGTTTTCGCAGAGACCTTACTTAGAGTGCAGACGTCATAGTAGTACCGAGTACACGGTAAACGGACGAACTCCGACGACGAAGAAGAAGAAAATCGATCGGGTTTCTAGGGTTTATTTTCTCGCAGAAAATCGAAAATTGAAAATTCGAAACAATGGAGGATGACGGGAATGATAAGGGCAAGAATAAATACAGCATAATTGTCCCAACCTACAACGAGCGCCTCAACATCGCCCTCCTCGTCTACCTCGTCTTCAAGCATCTTCGGTGATCCTCTTCAATCTCCGTTAATTTCTCAATTCGATTTTGTCCTGTTGTTTTCAATTGATGATAAGTTTGAAGATTCATGAGAATTTTTGATTTAGCAGGGATGTGGACTTTGAGATAATCGTTGTAGATGACGGGAGCCCCGATGGTACTCAAGAAATTGTAGAACAATTGCAGAACGTTTATGGCGAAGATCGAATTGTAAGTTTGAATTTTTGGTTGTAGATGATCAATATTAATGGTTATTTCTTCCTATCTCTTTTATTTCTCATGATGAAAAATCCCTGCTCTTTTATGTAGCTGTTGAGACCGAGAGCTAAGAAACTTGGTTTAGGTATGTACATATCGTTTTTTTTTCCCCTTTTTGGAACAATTACGACGCCATTTTTTTTAATTATATCATTTCAGGGACGGCTTATATTCACGGTCTAAAACATGCCTCTGGAAATTTTGTTGTAATTATGGATGCTGATTTATCACACCATGTAAGTATCTTATAGGATTTCTTGTTCATGTCAGGATATTAAAAAGAATCTATAAACTTTTGGGGCCTTATGTTAACGCATATTTTGTAAATCGGTGGCCGCTGGGTCTTGTTGGTATGTCCCGTTTGTTTTATATTATCTTTGTAGTTTTATTGATTTTATCTTCTGCCGAGGATGTAAATTAGTGTTTTCTAGGATTTCTTAATTCTTATTCATTTAAGGTTTCAAGAATTCTTTATATATGTAAAGCATTTTCTGGGTCTTTTTGGTTTGCCCATTTTTTGTTGCTGGTTGTTCCATATCCGTTCATTACTTCCTATTTTGGATTATCTTTGGAGTTTAATTGACTATCTTTTGCTTATTGCTATGCAGCCAAAGTACTTGCCCAGCTTCATCAAGTAAGAAAAATTCATAGCCTGTGATTCTATGTTATAGATCAGAATTCCTAGTACCCAATTCCTAAGAATTTTTTATGTTTCTTAGGAAACAGTTGGAAACTGGTGCAAGTATAGTTACTGGAACCCGTTATGTTAAAGGTGGTGGTGTTCATGGATGGAATCTTATGCGCAAACTAACAAGTCGAGGAGCCAATGTTCTTGCACAAACACTTCTGTGGCCCGGTGTATCAGATTTGACTGGATCTTTCCGGTACACTTTCAAATGCTTACTATTGAGCTGCATTATTGGTTCGTGCCATCATGATTAACAACTAAACTTTTTTGGTGTTCTCTCGTGAAGGCTTTATAAAAAGTGGGTGCTTGAAGATGTTATTAGCTCATGTGTAAGTAAGGGATATGTCTTTCAGATGGAGATGATAGTTCGGGCTTCGAGAAAAGGCTACCTTATTGAAGAGGTAGAGTTACACTCTGAGTTACTATGGTCTGTGTTTGCCTTTTCTATCCATGCTTGCTAATGATGATCTGATTTTTGAGTTTTTAGAATCAAATATTTTATTGTTTTTATCTAGGTGTCATTGAGTTTTTCTTTTTCTCGTGCAATGTGATTCTTCAACAGTTAACTCATTTGTTTATTTATCTAGATTTTTCTTGGTTTTTAATTTTTTATTTCTATATTTCATTTGGAAGATGTTGTGGATGGACTCACTCGTTGCCTTCTTTCAACAGTAAAGGGTCTTATATATTTTTTATCATATTGAGCATGTTGTTTGTTCCTATTTCTTTGAAATGATTTATGCTGCTTACTGTCTAGTTGCTGTCTATGTTCATGCTTGAGAATGTTGATGACATAGAGTAGACATAATAAATTGGTTCTACTACAAAATGAGCATATATTATCTGAGACACTTTTTCTTATTCCCGTTTTCAATCTTATAGCGATCTTTCTCAACCTCATGCTCGTTAATCACTTCTTTTTTTTTTTTTTCTCTCATATGCTTGAAACCCCATTGTACTGTCCACAGATCTTCCTTTATTATTTTCATTTGCTCATATTGTGCCTTTTTTCCCTCTTTTTGTTTCTGGCTCTGCGTTTTTCACAATTGTTTAACATATATAACAATTCAATCGTCATCCTTTTTGGTTTTATTAATTCTGCGTTTATTCGTCAACAGGTTCCAATCACTTTCGTTGATAGAGTATATGGAAGTTCAAAGCTTGGAGGATCTGAAATTGTTGAATACCTTAAAGGCCTTGCTTATCTCTTGGTTACTACCTGAATGCGTTGAAAACAACTCCTAATCTTCTCTCTCTCTCTCTTCTTCTTCTTGTTTTTTGTTTTGGTGTGAAAGCCATAACCATCTTTTTTTTTAGCCGTATGAAACATTTTTGGGTATATTCTTTTCTTTGTCACGAATATTTCACATACAATGATACAAAAGCCTCAATCAAACTTACAGCGATGATATGTGGCCTTGATTTTCTTGTCTTATGGGTTTTAAACTCACAGTTATTCTGATTCTTTTATCAGGTTTAATCACAGATTTTTAGGATACATTCCTAGATCCAAACAAGCTAATCGTGTAACTCTAATTATTAAATTTGCTCCTTCTAGTTATCAGTTCTGATTATATTCTGCTATGAGACGAATTGCAGAGAAAAATTTGCAATCAATTATAAGATCTCACCAGTCAAAAGAACTAAAAAGAAGAAAAAGAAACCTGTATATTATACCACCAAACAGAAACAAAGAACAAATTCGAGCCTTCATACAGTGTAGCCTGGACTTTTGCAGAAGCAAAAGCACTGGTATCTTAAAGACATATAAAACCCTTTTGCCTAAGGAAACTAAGCCAAAAAAAGAAACAAAAGAAAGTTTCAAACACTGTTCTAAAATCCCAACCCTAGTATTCAGTTTTCCGAACCCTCCTACCTCCGACCTTCCGTTCGCCAGCAACCACTGGAAGAGGCGGTTTCTTGTTCTCTTTGCTCATACTTCTAAGCATATACCTCGGAGTCTCGCTCATGCTTGTCTTCTCCGCCGAATAATAGGCTGCGGATATGGATTTCCTCAAGCTCCCAAGCTTCTTCGAGCTACTTCGTTTTGCAGACTCAACCGTCACACCCAAATTGTGACAAGAGCTCTTCTGACCACCCTCATCTCCCGTTTGGCCCTTCTTCCTCTTCAACCTATCGTTCCTTCTAGCAGAATACTCCTCATAAAACCTTCCCTTCTCGAACAGAGCACCATTTGAAAACCCGGGGTTATACAGAGCTTCTTCCCTCTCTCCATTGCCCAATTCCTCCTGAACCTTCTTTGCTAAAGCCCGCAACTCGCACGAGATCGTCAGATACTCCGGTCGCATCTCCGATTCTTTGATGTCTTGAAATTGATTTGATTTCAGCGATTTCGTCAATGAACCTGAAAATCATTTAATAAACAAAAAATGAATCGGAAAATCCTAAAAGAAAAGTAAGAGGAAAACAAGATCGTTGAAGCTAAGAACCGACCAGGAGGTGTTTGTGTAGCGGCGCTTGTTTGGAGGGACCGGCGAGGTCGATGCCTGATCGGCGATTTCGGCAGCGGCGGTTTCTGTACGGATTTCATCCTTGACATTTTGACTTCCAGCACAAGAAATTACAGACAGAGAATGAGAATTTCTGGGTTCAGAAAACGCGTTTTGGTGATGAGAATATTTGAAATGTGTGCAGAGGCGTTTTAGGTTTTCTTTGATATGTGATATATATACAGAGAGAGAATGGGCGTTTGAAAAAGGGGAGCGTCGCCAACGGTCATATTATTTAATCGGACGGCTTGGATTTCTTCAAATTTGAAGAGTGGGTTAAGTGTCTTGTGTTCCTAACGCCAGATTTCTTTCCATTTAACTCCCGAGATTTTTTTTCTACTTTTTGATTGTTTGCGTTTTGGTTTGTTTGTTTTTTTCCTGTTAAACTATGTCGTGGGGTCGTTATAGTGAAAAGCAAAAGATTCCATGGTTCGAACTGTGTTAATTTAAATAGAAAAAAAATAAATTATGATTTTAATAATTAGAATTAATGTTTAGATGTACGGTTGAAGTTTAAATCTAATATGGAATAAAATTTATATTTATATTTAATAAGTGTAGAAAGTAAAGAGAATATATATCTTTTTATTGTTTGAAAAATAATTTAAACGGATGAATTTAAGGTGGGAATTACACTCTAAATTAGATAATTTAACTCAATTAAAAGAAAGAATATAATTCAAATTACATGTTTACTAAATATGAGTTCAAATTGTACTCATTATTTAAATTAAGTTGAATTAAACTAAATCAATAAAACAAGTAGGATTGAACTATATAATTTTTTCCTCTCTTCCCAAGCTAATATAGCTTTTTTTTTTTTTTCTTTTTTGAAGAAATCAAGCTCTATTTTTTGATATTTCTTTTTGTTTTATTACCCAATCTAATAATTTATTTAGGATTTTTAGATCAAGTACTAAAGCTAAAACGAGGTTTAATAGTCTTTGTCCCTTAAACTTTTTTTTTGGGATTTAATTGGGAACTTCTCTGCTGCTGTGAAAAGTTAGGAAAAAAAATTATCACTATAAGTTTTCTAAGGCCGTTCGGTTCGCTAATTCAAGTTTTTAATTCGAGTTGAAATGTAATGTTGTGTGAGAGTTTTTTACTGTAGCAAAAAAGTTAGATGTGACTGTTTCTGAAAGCTTTTTACTGTAGCAAAACTCGAATTCTAAATTCGAATATGCGAAAAGAACGGTAAAATCATCACTATCATCCTAAAAAATCTATCAAAAAATATATCCCCGTAAAAATAACTAAATACCCTTTAAAATGTATGAGTTTAAATTTTTATATCTTTATTTTTAATTAAAATTTAGACTTATACAATTAAAAAATAATTCAATAATTTTTTTTTTTACTCAAACTTAACTCGAATTAGCTCAATCTTTTCATATATAAATAATTAATTTTCTATGATTATTATTGTCGTTGTCGTCCTAATGGAATAACGTGCCGTGCACATAGAAACTGTTGAAAGAGTAAAAACAGATTCGGTCTACTCCCGTGCTCAAATATCAATCATGAATCATCCAATCCGTCTCTCTCTCTCTCCGCACTATCGGTATTATCTAAAATTGCTCTTGCTTTTTCTTGCTCTACAACTTGATTATCGACTGCTTATCAATGGAGGGCGCGATTCGGTGCGACGCCAACTACGTCCCTCTCAGTCCAATCACCTTCTTGGAGCGCTCCGCCACAGTCTACGGCGACAGAGCCTCGATTGTCTACGGTCACGTCCACTACACCTGGGCTCAGACCCTTCTGCGATGCAAAAGACTCGCTTCTGCTCTTGCCCACTTGGGAGTTTCTCGAGGCCATGTGGTAAAAAACCCATTAATTAACTCTTTTCTTTTTAATTTTGAGTTTTGACTTTTGTTTCAGTGCTTTGCATTGCTTATTAGTTTTATGACTCAGCTTTTGTTATTTAATTTTAATTTTATTTTATTTTTTATAATGTGGCTTTGATTGCCGTGGCTAAGCACCCAAAAAAGCCTCTTCTTCGGTTTTCCTTTAAATTTTTTTTAATATAGATACAGGTCATGGGTATATGAGTAATGAATCTTTTGTAGTGAAGATAAGATGTTGGGATCCATTTTTTGCCTTCTAATTTATATGCTGAAAGTTTTCATCTGCTTAATTTTAGGAAGAATGTATAAGATCCGTTTAATTTGTTGATTTGAGTTTTTAATTTGAGTTGAGATGTGATTTTATGTGAGAATTTTTTATTATAGTAAAAAAATTAAATGTGACTGTTTTTATAAAACTTTTTTACTATAATAAAATTTAAATCAGTAAAATAAATCATACCTCGTTTTTTTTGTCCCAAAATACATTTCTTGGTGACTGAGCACTTGGGAGCCTCGGACTCTACTTTTGTCTTGCTGTAAACTAATGACTTTGTCTATCATGCCACTTTATTTGGTGGGGACATCGATTTTATTAGAATGTCCCACTAAAAAACTTGGGATTTTAGTTGCCTGGAATTACCCTTTCAAAACATAAACAAGTAAATAAAACAATTGCCTTGAATTATTACTCTTATCTAAGAGAACGCTGGATAATAGTTTAAACATCATCATTGGTTTCTTTTAGTCATATACATATAGTTGTCTTTTGGGAAACCATTATTTTTTAGAACTGAGCAAATTAGAACAAAGAATAACAGTTCGGGCCGTTTAAAAAGTATATTCAAACTATGATTTTAAATTCTGATGTTTGAAATTTAAATTTTTTATAAGAAAAAAATAATACAACATAATTAATTATTTAAGTCTGAATATATGAAATAAACAGACCTTCATTTCACAAGTGAGTTTACCCTTTCTGCAAAAAGGAAAAAAGAAAAAGTGAGTTTACCTCATAATGGTTCTTTAAGCTTCCTTTTTCACTCTCGTGGCTTGTGACTTGGGACTTGAATACCCTTTTCATACCTCATTTTGAAAGGACTGAAGGGCAATTAATGCTCATCTTTCTTTGTTTTTATTTTATTTTTTATTATTTGTTCTTTTCTTTTTGCTGGACATTTTATAATTTCTTTAATCTTCGTTTGAGCAGGTTGCTGCACTCGCACCAAATATACCAGCAATGTATGAGCTACATTTTGGTGTTCCAATGGCAGGAGCTGTTCTCTGCACACTCAACACGCGCCACGATTCCGCAATGGTCTCTGTATTGCTACAACATTCTGAGGCCAAGATCATCTTTGTTGATTACGAATTCCTTCAAGTTGCTCAGGGAGCCATTGATATCTTGTCCAAGAAAGGGTCCACCAAGCCTCCTCTTCTAGTCCTAATTCAAGAATCTGATGGATCATCCCCGAATACAACCAGCTCATTTTCGGCTTCTTCTTCGAATTTCGAATATGAGAGCCTCTTATTAATGGCACAACTTGAATGCTTTGAGATCATAAGGCCAAAAGATGAATGGGATCCCATTTCACTGAATTATACTTCAGGCACTACATCAAGTCCAAAAGGTGTCATTTATAGCCATAGAGGCGCTTATCTGAATTCTTTAGCCGCGGTTCTTCTCAACGAGATGAACTCGATGCCGGTCTACTTGTGGTGCGTCCCCATGTTTCATTGCAATGGTTGGTGCCTCACTTGGTCAGTTGCTGCTCAAGGTGGCACAAATATTTGTCAAAGGAATGTCACCGCAAAAGGGATTTTTGACTTAATTCATGGCCACAAAGTCACACACACAGGTGGCGCACCCACAGTCTTGAACATGATCATAAACGCGCCAGCGAGCGACAAGAGGCCACTTCCACACAAGGTTTCTGTCATGACTGGGGGCGCCCCACCGCCGCCACAAGTACTTTTCAAGATGCAAGAGCTCGGATTCAGTGTCACTCATGCCTATGGTCTAACCGAAACCTATGGTCCTGGAACAATCTGTAGTTGGAAACCCGAGTGGGATTCGCTTCCCCGGGATATGCAGGCAAAGATCAAGTCCAGGCAGGGTGTGCAGCATCTTGGCATGGAGGAAGTTGATGTGAAAGACCCCGGTACGCTGAAAAGTGTACCGCCTGACGCGAAGACAATTGGCGAGGTTATGTTCAGAGGCAACACTGTGATGAATGGATACTTGAGAGATGCCAAAGCAACACAAGAGGCTTTTAATGGCGGTTGGTATAGAAGTGGGGACTTGGGGGTGAAGCACCCTGATGGTTACATCGAATTGAAGGACCGGTCGAAGGATATCATCATCTCTGGAGGAGAAAACATTAGCTCAATTGAGGTGGAATCTGTGCTTTATAGTCATCCATCAGTTGTTGAGGCTGCAATTGTGGCAAGGCCTGATGATCACTGGGGAGAGACGCCTTGTGCGTTTATTAAGGTGAAGGATGGTTGTGATAATGTCACTGCAGAGGAGATTATTGGTTTTGTTAAGAGTCATTTACCGCATTATATGGCTCCGCGGACTGTCATTTTCGAGAATGATCTACCGAAGACTTCTACTGGGAAGGTGCAAAAGTTTGTTCTCAGAGAGAAGGCAAAGGCTATGGGAAGCTTGTCAAAGAAGAAGAGTAACATCAGCAAATTGTAAGAACGGAATTTGACTGTTCTACTTGATGCCAATATGCAATGTTAATGTTGTAAGTATTATTTATTGTAATATGTCCTTGTGCTTGTATCCAAAGCCTTCAAACCCATAAAGAATTTGTTTGCCTGCTATTAATCTATTACTCATAAAATTTCTTTGATGAACTCCTTATTTTGTCGCCAGCTCGTTTAGATTGTATTTTGTACTAAGCTTGTTAAATCTTTTGAATAAAGAATTTTTGTACAGAGGAGAAGTAAGCATGGATTTAGGATGTTTCTTTTCAATTAAACTTTCATCGATCTGAGAATACTGGGAATGATTTATACAAATTAAAAGTTCAATATGCGGGAAACTTATCAATACACTCAAAATCATGTGAAAAGCGCCAAACTTATAATTTGTCTACTTGCTATTAGGCTTGAAGGGTTTCATAAAATTCCTTTTATGAAGAGGGGATCGTGTCTAACATATATGATTGATATTATTAGCTAGAACGACATTTTCACTCCATGCCAATGTTGTGCTACCAGTTAAAAGAATATACTTTTTTTTAGGACATGTTTGGCGCACCGTATTATATTATGTCACATTATATTGTTATTATACAGCATCGTATTAACAATGTTTAGTTTATCATCGTATTGGATTATTTTACTCATGTTAAATTTTCTCATTATTCTCTCCCCATTTAAAAAATACACGGAGAAAACGCCATTAGAGGAGCTCGGAGGAGTTGGAAGAGCGAGGCAGCGAGCTCTAGAAGGAGAGCATGAGGAAAATGTCGAGGAAATATCGAAGGCAAGAGAAAAATGTTTGGGAAATAATACGAATCTAATACAATAAGACTTAATACTGGCTTGGCTTTTCTCCGTGTTAATCCAATACCGGTGTATTGTATTAAATTGATTGTGTCATATTATTTTATACAGTATAATGATACAATCATAATTTTAAAATAATACAATGTAGAGTTTTAATACGGCCAAACGAACTATTATGTTGTGACTAATATTTTATTGATGCTCCTAATAGAATATGTCTTGTGAAAAATAAAGACTCTAATATATATATATATATATATATATATATCATGTGAGCTACTTAAAAGCTAATTAAAATGTGGTTGGGTATATATGTTTGTTTACGCTCTGATTAAGACAGTGTTATATATAAGTCTTCTACAGGCATTAGCTTTTATTAATGAAAGCTTATTCAATTCATTCACATAATATAAAATTCTTTTATCCTCTTAGTTCCTTTTGATTTTCAACAAACGAGAAGATTATTTGAATTTATAAGCTTTCCTTGAATCTATAAATTTTCTCACTCTTTTAGACATTATTTCAATTACTTTCATTGTATTATTTGTATGCTATTATTATTAATCAATTTGATTATGATGTCATAAATTTTATGACTTCTCGCCGCTAATTATATCATCATATCATTTTACAAATTTTAAATACTTTTTAACTAGCTTTTTTAATGCTTTATTATATAAATTATTAAATGACGTGTCATAGTGTGATTGGTTAAATACCAATTGGAATATTAAAAATTAAACATGTGATTTGAGTCCTTAAGAATAGATCATAACAGATGTAACGTTAATATTTAACATAAATAACACCTAAAAAATTAGTTATTCAAATTATCATAATATTTTTAACTTCAATATCACATTGAGCAATATCATATAATATTTATAACCACCACGCTACCGTGGACAAAAACCATGCAATGATCAAGCTCGAAAGGGCTTGAGTGAGATTGAGTTAGGTCCTTTTAGTTTTATTGATGGACCTCGAGATCTTAAAAGTGACGAATAAGAATGATCATTTTTTTATTATTTTATAAAAGGGAAAAAATGCTAGAAAGGGGTGGGATCAACTTGAGCCAATTGGAGAAGTTCCGTGTTTGATTCCATAATAGCCATGTCACGCTCGTCCAGAGTCACCCACGCCTCAATCCCATCGCCCAACCTGGTGTCCGCTAATATCACGAGCTTCATGAAAACCGAACCACTCAACCCAAAACTACTCACCCACGCAGGCCTTCCCCAACCAAAATCAGCCTCATAGAACCCAAACTTGCACCAACTGCTAAACCCAATTTGGTCCATTTCCCCGTCTCCCATTACCTGAATTATTCTGTTTAGAGACTCCAGCATTCGAAACCTCCGTTTTTCCCCTCTCAATCTCTTCACAAAATCGCCATCAGTTTTCGAGAATGACTCTCTCAACAAACCCACCAACTCACTCACCCCCGCCACGGCATGATCACCCCTCGCCGGTCTACTTTGCGCCGAGGCAATCCAGAGCAGATTCCCTAGGCAATGCTCCGACAAAAACGGCGTCGTTCTTCTGCGGAGGTTGACCAGATGCGTCGACAGCGAAGGCCTCGAAACGCCGCCGTTTCGGTCCTTAGCGGCCGAGATGACGCACCGCCAAATGAAAGCCGAGACGGCCTCCACGCGCGTCGGGTTTTGGACGGCCGCACTCGACGAGCTACGACTCGCTTCGCTCCTCAGAGACAATATGGCCGAGGCGTCGAACACGAATCTCTTCGTTACGCACTTTCCTTTGGTGAAAAACGAACCGAACATCACCATGGACGTGTCTCTCAGCCACAAGTCTCCAGCATCGTTTGCCGGGAAGAGAGAATTAGCCGCCTCGAAGCTCGGCGGCCGTGCCGCCTTGCATGTCCGATCTCCGCGGGCCGTGGTGGCCCATGATCGGAGGAAGGAGCTCAAAGCGGCGCCGTCTAAGATCTTGTGAGAAATGCATAAGCCAACAGCTAATCCACCGCATCCGAAGACGTTGATCTGGATATTCGCCACGTGATTATTATCATTACGGTTGGACGCTGCGAAATTTAGGTCGCAAGGAAGGAGTTTTTGAAGCAGTAAGAGATAATCGGGTTGGTTAAGGAAATCTCTTAGAGAAGAGTCAACCTTAGCTTCAGCGAAATAAGCTCCTCCGTCGTCGCAGTCGATCGAGAGGTCGTCCTTGATCTTTCCGGCGAGCGGGTAAAGATCGGTTAGGGTTTCGGATAGAGATTTCTTCAGAGATTCTAGCTTGTTTGAATTTGAAACGTCGTCGTTTGGTGGGTAAAAGAGGATTATGGGAGCGTACGGACTGGGAATAAGCTGGTCCAAAAGAGAGAGCTTGAAAGTTCTGAGGTGAGAAGGTGTTGGTGAAGATGGTTTGATGTGATCTATTGAAACAATTTTCACTTCCATTTTTTTGGTTGTGGTGGTACTGGCGCAACAAGATGATATCCAAAATGGGACACGTAATTGACTTAAATAATAATATTGACTATATTTAATAATTAATGGTCTGATTACGCAATCTGTCTTGGTGTTAATCCAATGAGGTAAAGAATCTTGCTTTGGATTTGATGAGTATCCGTCTTGATTTTGTCCTTCCTTAGTCTTGATTTTGTCCACCTCTAAGGAAGGTAAAGCGACCAAAACTCGTAGACTCCAGTAAATTATAGATAACAATACATGGAACTTTTGGTGAAATAACAAAATAAAATAAGAAGGCTAAGGGTTTGTTCGGTTACATTTTTAAGTTATGGTGACTTGAATATAGATTTTGAGTTGAATTTAAGTTATAATTTGAGTTAAAGTTGTAACTTGAGTTTGTGTTTGGATGTGCACATTTGAGTTATAATTTAAATTGAGAATCTATTTGAGTTTGTGTTGGTCAAAACTTAAATTTATATTTAGATAGAATTTTAATAAAAACTCAATGGTGATAAAAAATTTTAATAGGATATATAGATGTTGTTTTATTCATCTCTTTGTTGTGAACGCATAGAAAAGAAAATCATCTCAATTAGAATTAAAACGAAAAAGTTATGGTATTTTTAATAATAAAAAAAATATTATTCATTAATTTGAGTTTGAGTTTAAGAACTTCAGTTGAAGATGAAACTTGAACTCAGATTTTAGCTTTAAACTTAAGTTAAAAATTGAATTCAAACTCAAATTTTATAAAAGAACGTAAATTTAAATAAAATTGTAATTTGAGTTCAAACTTTTTTTTTAGTTTTAATCCAAAAGAACAAGCCTAACGCCTGGTTGACTCTAAATATAAATTTACCAGTATCTATCTATCTATATATATAAGAAGTGAGAATCCCAAACACTGTTCATGCATTTTTCAACTAAAACGGTGTCGTTTTTTCTATCTATCTATATACCACCTTAAAAGAACATAAATTTAAATAAAATTGTAATTTGAGTTCAAACTTTTTTTTTAGTTTTAATCCAAAAGAACAAGCCCTACTCCTGGTTGACTCTAAATATAAATTTACCAGTATCTATCTATCTATCTATATATATAAGAAGTGAGAATCCCAAACACTGTTCATGCATTTTTCAACTAAAACGGTGTCGTTTTTTCTATCTATCTATATACCACCTTTTTTTTTTTTTGACTAAGTGCCTTAAAACTTAACTTTTTTAAAATTTTAGTTTCTTTTTTAGTTTTTATATGTTTTTAATAATAATACCCTAATTAAAACGTAATACACGATTACTCTACGTGCATAGCGTGTTCTTCAACTAGTGCATCAAAAAATATATATTGCAATACGTGTAATGGTATAAAGGGCTCTGAAAAGTGAGAAGCCATGAAAGATATGATATCGTTTATCAAATTAATTAATAATTATATATAATATGCAAATACAGTAATGGAAATGAAATAATATATAGAAAAAGGAAATTTAAATTAATCTCCTTATTATGTAACCCGGAACAATAAAACGTCACTAGCTAATCTCTTTACATATTTATTAAGGGAGATAAGAATTTCAATATTTTATTATCCTTTGTGATTGAGAAAATATATGCCCTTTATAATTGATATTTTTTCCCCTTTATTCTATTCTTTCTTTGATTTTTCATCATATACTTTAATTTGAGTCTTTACTTTACACGACACATATAATTTGTGTCAATCACAAATTAAATATTAATGGGTGTCTAATTAATCATATTATAACATGTCATTCAATAACTTAAATATTAAAGCATGAAAAAAATTAGTACATAATTTAATTGACTAGACACTAATTGAAAACTAATTAGAGATGTGATTTGAATCCTATTCTTAAGGGGTCCTCTCAACCAAACCTGTATATAGTATAGGGTGAAGCTCCCTAAGATCGGAGCTTCATATCATTTTTATTTCATTGGATTACAACAAAGGAGTAAAATTACAACAAAGGTAGGGTATAAATAGGAAAAAAAAATGGTAAAAAACAACTTATTCACACAAAAATTTATTGAGTGGTGGGTCATCATATTATGATACACCCAAGAGGGAGCTATTTAAGGCAGGAATTCCACAAGGTCATAACATCACTTTTTTATTGAACTATGGCACTATACCAATTATAAATGAAAATCTAAAAAGGATGATATATAAATAATAAATAAATAAATAATTTACTCACATCGGTGAGGACCCAACGCTGGGATCCACCTCAGGGGCTCTTATAATACTGGACTATTAACAAATAACAATTAATAATAAGTAAAATCTTAGAAGAAAGGGGATAATTGAAAAAAAGAAAAAAAAAAAAAGATCGAAGACAACTAGCTTCGTCACGTTTAGTATGTAGTTTACTGAAACAAGAAATATACATTATAGTCCTATTCTTAGGAAAAAAAACAAACAAAAAAGAGAATATACATGATAGAGGTTGGAATTTACAATAAAATTCAGGCATCAAAACGTGATGAGCTGGTCGATCAAAGTCAATTTGAGTTGATAAAGCGTTAAAACGAGAACTTGAAGTACGAAAAATAAATGAACACGCGTATTTATAGCGGTTTATCTTCGATGTGAAGATTGCGTCTACTATAGAGTCTTGTGCTTCACTATATGATGTAAAAAAGTACACTTACAATAGTGAAGAAAAATAATGAGAGATAATAAAAGACTAGAGAGAGTCTCTAGACAGGGTGAAAGAATGGGCGTGAGAATGTTTGAATATCATCCCCTTTAATTTGTGGTAGCAATCCCTTATTCATAGGAGATGGTTTGAGCCTCATTAGTTTCTCAATTCTTGAGTGGATTCGTTGTTGATTGGAGAATCATGCAGTTTCCTTATATGGCTTCAGTTGACTTTCGTCTTCTCTTGTTTTCACAATTTGATTTGGTGAAGTTTGCTCTCTAAGTTCGATCTGATTCTGGTTCTTATTGCCTAATTTTGTTGATTTGGTCTTTGTAGCTTTGAAGGAACCTTCTTTCATGATTTATCTGTGATGGTTCCCACAGGATCTCACGTCGTCGTGCTTCTCTAGTTGACGTTGTCTCTTAAATTGATTCCTCAGTCAGCTGATTTCTGTCGACCTACTTTTTCAAATGTTGTTCAAGTGTATAGTGATAATCGTGGTGTTAATTTTAACCCTAGCATAATCACATGTCTAATTTTAATGTTTAAAATAGGGTTTGATCAATTAGATTGCGTCACATCTTTTAAAAATATTAAAATATATTTTAATTTTAACAATCATTAATAAATAAATGACATAAATGAAAAAAAATGATCGAAGACAAAAAGCTAATGGAAGACAACTAGTAATAGTTTACATAAACAAGAACAACTACTATATAGTTTACATAAACAAGAACAACTAGTATATAGTTTACATAAACAAGAAATATACATTATAGTATTATTAAAAGGACTTTTCTTTGGTATGGTATTTTTATTGATAGAGTCAGTTTTTTATTGTTAGATTTAATTAAAATCAAATTAAATTAAAAAAATATACATAATAAACAATTTTTGATACATATTTAACAGCTAAAAATACTACCGCTTCATTTTTTCTAGTAAGAGAAACTCCTTTATTAAAAAAAAAAAGAATCTACATTATAAGAGCTTATGTTTGTTATTTTTCAAAATATTTAGGCCTTATTTTTTTTTTATAACTCAAATCACAACTTAATTTCTATTGTTATATTATTTTCTTTAACAAAAATTTAAATTTAATTTTTTTACTACAATATTTTTCTCTTTAATACACAAAATTCTTAATTTGAAATGTAAAACCCTTGAAACCCCTTAACTACAGCAAGTGTAGTTGAAATTTGATTTAAAAAAAAAAAAAGATCAAAAAAGCCATCTATAAACATGGAATACGATTTCGCCTTATACGGCAACAAATAGGAAGTCGTTTGAGTGGGGAAAATCTGTTGTTGGTCTCTCTCTCGGGATAGCATATAATATTGCCGCCAGGCGCCAACACAACCGGACGGACTCTAAAACCCTTGTTGCTGCGTCGAATTAGGGTTTCCCTCTGCAACCAAGCAGCCATGGGAGGCTCGCGAACTCAAGTGAATAAGGCTCACAAGACTCGATTTTCTTCCAAAGCTTCTCGTCACCTCCACAAAACCTCTCTCCAAGGTTCTTCTTCTTCTTCTTCTTCTTCTTTTTTTTTTTAAAATTACGAATCGTCAATTGTTTTCAATTTCAATTTTGCATGTTTGTTTGGTTTAATATTTTCTCTGGAGAAAAAGAAGCCTCGGTCTGGGCGACTTTCGTTGTATTGATTCCTCAAAAATTCTTCATTTTTCTCAAAATTATTGCCTGCCAAATGGTGCATAATTTATGATTTTTTTTTTCTTCTCTGTCTTCGGTGATGTAGATAAGAGTAGGATTGCTAAATCGGAGCGCAATGTTGGAAAGGGAGCTAAAGCTGCTAGAATTCAGCGTAACAAGATGGTAAAATATTCCAAGTACTTAAAATTCCTTTTTTTTTTTCTCTCTTCATTCACGTCATTTGAATTCTTTATTGGTTTCATTTTATGATTTGGTTGTGGTACTTCCACTTTGTAGTTACGAGATCAGAAACGGGCTGCTGTTTTGAAAGAGAAAAGGGCCTCCGGTGGATCAACAAGCTCTCCCCGTGTCATTGTATGTATTTTCCTTCTTTGATTCTCTCTGAGGATTCTTTTGTGTGTGTGTGTGTGTGTGTGTGTGTGTGTGTGTGTGTGCTTGTGTAATAAGTTTCAGTTAAACTGTTTCAAAATCTATTTATTGGGATATGTTTAATTTTGCTCAATTTATGTCATTCTTGTGATAACAGGTTCTTTTTGGGCTTTCTGCAGCCGTGGACCTAAATTCACTTGCCCGAGATATTCTTGCATTGTTATCTTCTGAAGGTTCTGGGGTTTCGTCATCAACCGTCGCTTCTTCTGAATATAAGTTGCGAGCAACGGTAAGCGAGCCATGCTACAATATTTTGTTGTTCCTAGTATTCCTCGGTAAAATATTCATAAAAGGGTTCTTTTGTGTTGTTTGGTTTCTAGAAATGCACTTTTAAAAACAATTTAGTGGAGGCAAACTGGGCCTCTCGATTATCTCCTGCTTATTTTCTTTATTGACATCCTCGGATTTGCAATGAATTTGATTCTTTTAGCAAGAAGATGCCTATTTACTTCTCATTAATTGAGAGAGGAAAAATACTTTAAATGAACTATTGGCGTGATTTTCTCCATTTTTTGAATTGGGAAATTGTCACCAGTTTGAGCCCTGAGTTTCTTGTTCGTAGCTAAAGCAAAACAGAAGCTAAACCAGGGCCGCGTGTAGGTGTGCGTGCGCGCGCACATATAGTGGTGGACATGTCAGTCACAGATTACTCTGTCCTAGCAGACCTTTTCCTTTCAAATTATGACGTTGGTTTTTACTAATATAGCTGCGAGGTGGTAATTCATACTGATTATCTAACTATAATTTATGCTTTAGGTATTAAAAGCTCCGCATGGAGATCTGCAATCATGCATTGAGATGGCAAAGGTATGAAGACTCCATGAGAATATAGAAATTTTCCCTACTTTTTCTGGTTTTAGGGGCTTGAAGGACGTGATTTGCTTTTTCATGACATTTTTAGAAACTGATTGGAATTGTAGGTTGCTGATCTGATCGCTTTTGTGGCATCAGCAAGCTACACATGTGAAGGCAGCATATCAGACTACATTGATTCATTTGGAAGTCAATGCCTTTCTGTATTTAGATCTATTGGTTTACCAAGTACTGTTGTGCTTATTCGTGTATGTTATTACTGACCTGATACTCATATTTGACATGCTTTTATTTTTAGAAATGTGAAATTAGGTTTTTCCAACATTATAAGATTCTTTTGGAATGCCTATAGGATCTACCAGGTGAGATGAAAAAAAGACATGACATGAAAAAGATGTGCACCTCTGATCTTGCTTCTGAATTTCCCGAGGATTGCAAGTTTTATCCAGCTGATACAAAGGATGAGTTACACAAGGTAAGTTGACCTGGAAATAGATAACCTGGCTTATAAGCTGCAGATCTTAAAATTCTAAGTGGTCGGTATTATTGCAGTTCACGTGGCTTTTCGTGGAGCAAAGGCTCTCAGTTCCTCACTGGCGAAGTCAACGGTCTTACCTCATGGCTCAAAAGGTGCTTATTTTTTTCAGCAAATCTGCGTTACAATACCTTTTGTTAATGGGAACAAAGAGGATTAGAGGAATAAGAAGATTATAATTGGAAATTTTCCTGAGCAGGTTTTCGCCTTTAAACATTTTCTTCAATGCCTCTTTTCCTTGAATATTTCATGTTTAGGTTGATGCCATAGCAGATAGTGGCAACTCGGGTAAATGCACTCTCCTCCTTACAGGATATTTGCGCGGACGCAGCCTGTCTGTGAATCAGCTGGTATTTAATTGAATCGATCCATTTGCATTCCTTTTGTTGCATGAATTGGAAGTTTATGTCTTATTTCCTTTATACCAGGTTCATGTTTCTGGTGCTGGGGACTACCAGTTGAGTAAAATTGAAATTCTCAAGGACCCATTTCCTCTTAATGCAAGAAAAAAACAAGATTTCATGGATTCAGATGACATGAGTGATCTTGAGGTACTGATCTTTACTTTTTGTTTGGCAAAGGCAACATAAGATGGTACTTGGATTTATCCACTAAACGTTAGTATTTTCTGTTTTTGTTATCTTGATATTTTGTAAAAAGTCGTCCTTCATGTGCACGGTGACAAGATCATTGTATAAAATTTATTGGTTACTATAGATTTTATCAGTCAATAAAATTGCTCCGTTTTCACATGTTTCTAGGTTGTTCGATGCTTGGTTCCAGATCCATTGAAGCAGGAGCCTTTACTTGTTGAAAATGTTCCCGACCCTCTTGCAGGTGAACAGGTAAATTTATTAAATTCTTGTTTATTCTATTTACTGTAGTTTTTGTCTCCCATTTCGTTCTGTTTTTGCATGTGGGTAAAACTTATACAAGATTGAAATTGAGATTACACAAGTTGTATCGGACTGTTTGTAAAAGTTTGTCGCACTATTTCAATTTAGCTGATAGATAGGTGTTGAATAAAGTTTACAACTCCTAGATAATTCAGTTTTTTATGAATGGCCTATTAGAGGCTTTAGTATCTTAATTAATTATAGCAGCAATGTCTCTTTTGATTCTTTTGAACTATAATGGTACTTGTTCATTTCATTGTACTACTAGCTATGCGTGATATGTTGTTCATCTGCCTGTGGTATGATAGAACTCGGAATATAAGTCTCTTTGCTTTTTAACAGACTTGGCCAACAGAAGCTGAAATTGCCGAGGCTGATAGAAATCAGAAACAAAAAAGGTCAAGAACTCTTCCTCGAGGAACTTCAGAGTACCAGGTATATGTTTATTTTGTCATTATAAAAAACTTAGTGTCCCCTGTCCATCTATTATTTGTTGTATCTTAATTCAAACTGTTCTAGTTTTCTTGCTTATATCGTAATCATCAATTTTGCTAACCATGAATATTGCAGGCTGCTTGGATTGTGGATGACACAGATGAGGATGATTTAGATAGTGATGATGAAGCTGATGGTATGATTTTGGATGAAAGAGAGGTTGATTTTCCTAGTCACCAAGACAATAATAACTTCGATCTCAGTGATGATCGGGCTTCACTGAACTTGAGAGACTCTGATGAAGAAACAGATGTTGATACCGTGATGTTGGTAAGTTATATCACACATATACATATACATGTGTGTGTACTTAATGGTAATTGGTGTGTTGCGTGGAAGGGGTTACAAAAGTTCTGCTTTAATTATTTCTCATCTATGATTTTCAGGGAGGTGAAGAATTGACAAGGGAGCAGCTAGAGGATGAAATTAAAAAACTGAAAAATGAACATGCTGATGATGAGGGTACTCTTATTTATTTTTTATTTTTTATTTTTTAAAAGAAAAAATCTAAGTAATGGTGTTTGCTGGAGTCACTGCTTTGCTTTTTATCGTTAGTTACCCTTTGGAATGTTACTTGTATTTCTGAAAAAGAAAAATTTTCTTTGATCTTTTTTCCATTTATTTCTTAAATTCAAGTGAAAAATTACTTCGAAATAATAATTTAAGGATTCTTTTAACTTTGTTATGAGTAATTTCATTTAAATTGTATCGCTGACCCTTTGGAATGTTACTTGTATTTCTGAAAAAGAAAAATTTTCTTTGATCTTATTTCCATTTATTTCTTAAATTCAAGTGAAAATTTACTTCGAAATAAATAAATTTAAGGATTTTTTTAACTTTGTTATGAGTAATTTCAATTAAATTGTATCACTGACAATATAACAGCACAGTTCGCCGTTAAAGCATTTTCCTTTAGGTGAGCTGATATTTTGTTTCAGTCATTTGTTAACAGTTGTTCTTGTGTTTCAGAGTTTCCGGATGAAGTAGATACCCCATTAGATGTTCCTGCTAGAAAGCGGTTCTCCAAGTATAGAGGCTTGAAGTCCTTCCGCACTTCTTCATGGGATCCTAAAGTAATTTTCTAGTTCTTAATTTTGTTTTTAAAATATTCTTGATACTTGAGCAGGTAAATAACATGCTTTTCTTCGGATATCAGGAATCTCTACCCCCAGAATATGCCAGAATTTTTGCATTTGATAATTTCGCGCGAACACAGAAACATGTTCTTTCTAAAGCTCTAGAAATGGAGCAAGAAGAAAGTGAAAACTGCATATCAGCTAATTCATATGCAAGGCTGCATATCAAAGAAGTGCCTGAAGGTATTGCCTCTAAATTATGTCTGCTTGTGAAAGAAAGGCCCGTTACAGTGTGTGGGCTTTTGCAGCACGAGTCCAAGATGTCCGTCCTCCATTTTAGGTACTTCTATTGTGGCATTTTTCTCTTTCTTTTTGTTCCACTTCCCTATAACCGCAAACGGTCTCACAAATTAGATCATCTATGTTTTGCAGCATAAAAAAGCACGACTCATATGCCGAGCCTATCAAAGCCAAAGAAGAATTAGTATTTCATGTTGGCTTTCGCCAGTTTGTTGCAAGGTAGTTCTCTAATGTTATGAGCTCTAGCATTTCTCGAATTTCATAGGTATTTGATGTCACTGCCCATTGCTTTGTAGGCCGATATATTCCACTGATACCATGAATTCAAACAAGCACAAGATGGAGAGGTTTCTTCATGCAGGGCGTTTTTCCATAGCATCAATTTATGCTCCAATTTCGTTTCCTCCTCTTCCTGTGATAGCCTTGAAGTATGCTGAAGGAGATGGTGCTCCTGCAGTCGCTGCTGTCGGTTCACTGAGAAGTATTGACTCAGACAGGATAATTTTAAAGAAGATTATCTTAACTGGGTAATGATTTATTCTCGACTTCGTATATAAAGTGGTTGCTTGTTGCTTCTGGGCTACTCAGTATAACAAGGAAATAGCTGTTTCTTCCTTGGGCTTTTCTTAACTTTTCAGTCTTATAATTGTGTTTTTAGAAATTATTTTCTGATTTCTCAGGAATTTTTTTATGAAGTTCCGTTGATAAGCCACTGTGCTTTTGCTGTTTGATTTACTCCTGTGATTCAACTTGATGACTAAACTTGCTTTTAGTGATAAAATTCACACTATTCTACACGAATCTTACAAGCTAGTTTCTTTGGATTTTTTGTATTAAATTTTTGCTCTTTTGGTAATTACATCACACTAACATTGCTATCTGATGGCAGCTACCCTCAACGAGTATCGAAGATGAAAGCTTCTGTAAGATATATGTTTCATAACCCAGAGGATGTAAGATGGTTCAAGGTGAGAAAATATCATCATTTGTATATATTTATTTTTGAATCCTGTGAACATCCTGGTGTAGCTAGACATCAATATGACGTTGTTCTTCTGTTGGTGGTGATTTCAGCCCGTGGAAGTGTTTACCAAGTGCGGGCGTCGTGGTCGTATTAAGGAACCCGTTGGTACACACGGTAAGATACTTTCTAGTCCAAGGCGAATCTTGAGCCACATAAAAAAAAAAAATTATTAATTTTCGTCATATACTTTTTGTGATTATCAGTAATGTTAATGGGAGTTTATCCTGAATATCCTTGGTGTTCTGAAATAACTATTAGTGATAAGAAAGTTGTAATGCATCGTCTCATTCTTACTAAAACTTGGTTCTTTTTCATTTCAGGGTTTATGAAGTGCATCTTCAACGGGGTCCTCCAGCAGCGCGATACCGTATGCATGAGCTTATACAAGCGCGCCTATCCAAAGTGGCCGGACCATCACTTCCCAATTTCTTGATTCTCATTGAGAAGACAAGTGGCTGGTGCTCTCTAACTCTTAAAGCATTTCTTCTTTTAGAGCATAGAAAGAAGCCCATGCTGCTTGTTGATCGGAATGAAGCTCTGGTTCAGATTGTTGGTTTTTTTTTGAATTCTCAATTTTGCCGGTAGGACACTGTCGAGTGTCAATTGTTAGTATATATATGCTCGATGTTTTTTTCCCCCCTTCTTTTTCCCTTTTCAGCATTCTTTTAATCCTTAACGTATTTATTATTGGGACCCACATCTTTTTTCCCTGTTGAGTGGAGACTAGCGAGCATCGACATATTTCTGCTTATAGCCGTTTCTAATATCGACGCGGCATTTTATTTTTATTATTATTATTATTATTATTTTAAGTTTGAGTTTGAGTTTAGATGTTATTATTAGGATTATTAGTCAATGGAATGTGCCTTTAAAGATGTCCACCGAAGGAAAGGGGCAAAAGGATTTTTTTTTAGAATGGGGCAAAGGGATTTTTATTCGCTGAAGAAAAAGAAAAGATATCGAATTCCCTTGTATATTAAAAGGCAAAAGAAAATTATAAATTTTATATTCTTAAGTATTTGACTTATTAAAAGTATCATTTTTAAAAAATTATATTCTTAATTAGTTTTAATTTAAAAGGTTGAGATCTATAAATTAAAAAAAAGTATCATTTTAAAAAAAAATATATTCTTAATTAGTTTTAATTTAAGAGGTAGAGATCTATAAATTAAAAAAAAGTATCATTTTTTTAAAAAATATATTCTTAATTAGTTTTAATTTAAGAGGTAGAGATCTATAAATTAAAAGGGGTGTCTTTAAAATTTGTCCTTTAAACCAATGGCATTTGGGCTAGCACTTACTGTGAGTTTAAAAAGAAAAGGGAAAAGGATGCCTTTTTTTTTTTTTTTTTGGAGAAAGAGATAAATAGGTCAAGACTTGAGATGAATTAAAATTAATACGTCAATAGTTTACATAAGTTAATAAATAGGTCAAATTACTGTTTTCGTCCATAACTTGTCTAGTTATAAACTATAACTTGACAAGTTATTGTCCATAAATCACGGTTTTTGTCCATAACTTGTCTGGTTATGAACCATAACTTGACAAGTTTGTCCATAACTTATATGGTTATGAACCATAACTTGACAAGTTATGGCCTATTAATTTCTATAACTAAAAGTTGACCTATATATTTACTTAAGCTTTTCATATTGATCTATTTTCTACTATTTCTCTTTTTTCTTTTTAAGTGAATGAACAGTGGTTCTTTATTGTAAAGAGTAACGTCATATTTTTTGAGGGGGTGACTATTCCTTCCAACTTTTCAGTCAAATTACAAATTCACGGTCCAACTTTAGAACCCATTTTGATTATACGGCGTATTCAGAACAAAAAAAAAAAAAATCTTCATTTCATTTTAATTTTTTCTAAAGAAAAATATTCCTTTTAGAATTTTGTATTTATAAATCCGGCCTACTAGTGAAATGCGAACAAAAATACGTCCGGTTAGAGTTGCAAAGTTTTGTCGCACGTCCTCTTTTTTATGCATCCTATTAATTACTCTAAATATCAGGCCATTAAAACACTTAAAATGATATGGCCTTTAATTACTATTTAAATTAACATGATATTTTAATTAACGTGGTATAATATTTTAAGGATTAAATGAAGATAGAAAAAGGAGACAAATACCTGTTGACAAAATGTGACATAAGATTATTGGATCGAAACCGATCAACATACAAGTTAGGCTCCAGCATTAGGGTTTATAATTGGGAGAAAGAGAGAAATAGGCCAAGACTTGAGATGAATTAAAATTAATAAGTCAATAGTTTATATAAGTTAATAAATAGGCCAAATTACTGTTTTTGTCCATAACTTGTCTGATTATGAATCATAACTTGACAAATTATTGTCCATAAATCACGATTTTTGTCCATAACTTGTCTGGTTATGAACCATAACTTGACAAGTTTGTTCATAATTTATTTAATTATGAATCATAACTTAACAAGTTATGACCTATTAATTTTTATAACTAAAAATTAGCCTATATACTTCCTTAAGCTTTTCATATTGACTTATTTTATACTATTTCCATTTAAAAGTTGGGCAACTCCAGATTCTTGGCCTATGGACAATACCCAAGTTGGAAATTATGGGCTTCCTTCTTCTTTTAACCCAAGACCCAACTCTACAAACCCAACCCTAAAAGTCCAAATTGAATTCCAGATTTCCTATGTGAGCGTTTATGGTTAAATTCGACTCCAACCAATCAACGAATAGGTGGACGATCGTCTGAAATTTAAAATTCCAATTATGCCCCCGACAAATCGGTGAAGCTTCATTTTAACCCGCAAAGGATTCATGGCCCCGACTCCGATTGTGAAGAGACGAAGACGGTGACTGGAAAGTGGAAACTGGAGTTTCCTTCTGCTGCCTGTTTGGACTCGCTGAAACTTTCCCAAGATTTTTCCGAGAAAATTCCAGTTTTTCTCCAAATGCTTAAACCCTAAAGCAGAATGCTGGGTTTTCTCCCCAAGGAAGCTTTAGAAGCATGTACAGAACTGCGTAAGTGTATACTGCACCGTTACATGTATAGAATTCTGCGAAAACCACAGCCATGGCTATCATTTTCTCGTGTTAATTCGCTCATGTCATTACAGAGCGACGGTCCCTTTCCGGTTCTTTGCGGACGCGTTTCGGAGATCAATATCACAAGAAAATGTATGTTCCCTTTCGCAATTTCTTCGTCAGAACAACTATTATGAAATTCACCCGCTTTTTGATTGACGATAATTTTTTTGTTAGAATCAATGTTAGACGAGAACACGCTTTCATTTATGTTTTTCCTTTAGGAAACAGAATAATGCATAAGATTGATTGTAGACCTTTTTTTTTTTTTTTTTTTTTTTTGTAATTCGGGTGATTATTCCTGTTCTTTTGATATGCACATTATCAAATGTCGTCGCAGAGATGGAGTGGTGCGGCAAAAGAATTCGCTTTCTCAAGAACTATTTCAACGGCAGAAGGTAATCTTTCACAACTCTTCTTCAACTTGTGTAATCGCGTTTCTAATCTGTTTATTATGTGAAAATAAATAAATCACTAACTAGTTATGCAATGGACATTTTTCCTTATGCTCATTGTATACACGGGCAAGACTTCAATTGTTTGTGATAGGCATAGATGTATGATGTAACGTTGATTGAAAAAAAAAAAATCAGATTGTGAGCCCGTTTGAAAACTTTCAGATTTTAGATTGAGTGGAAAGCCTACCAATGCATAAAGGTTCTGATTCAAGTGACAGCCCAGAATGATTCCTCCAATTTAGTAGATTCATTTTGTTTTCTATGAGTAACTTTCATACCATCATATTGTAATATTTGCGTGGTTATGGAGCAGAATCAGCCACAAAATCCATGCAGATGCAGATTGTTGATGCGCTTTCCGCTGGCAAGAGAAGTGAAGCGTCCAGTGCACTTTCAAGTCTTGCTCGTGGAAATTACTCGCTAAGAGCTAATGATTTTCTTGATATCTTTAGATACTGTGCAAGTTCTCCTGATCCGTTGGTAAGCTACAATACAACTTGTTTTTAGTTTATCCAAGTGGTTTAGTGATCTAAGAAGATCTTTGTTTAATAAGTTGATATTCAATCGATTTTGCTAGTACCGTTTGATGCTCTGGAAAATAAAAAGGTAAAACATAGAGTCACAAGCATTATTTTTTTTCTTTTATTTTATTGCAGTTTGCGTTGGAGACTTGGAGCTTAATGGAGGAAAACCAGATCAGCTTGGATAGCTATTCTTCCTTGCTAATGATACGTGCACTCGGAGAAGGGGGTTACCTGGATGAGGTTAAGTTCATTAAACAAGAACAACCAGGAAAAAAATCAAAACAAAACAAAATAAAAATAAATAAATAAAACCTTGAACGCATACTTGTCTAGTTAGTTTTGGCCATGCTTAAAGATGTAGTTGGAAAATTGAACTACTTGAACCACCAAGAAAAGTTAATTATGCATTTCCATTATGTTCTTAGTCAATTTTAAGTACAATGAAGGAACTGAAGTTGTATCTTCCTGATTCGCATGTTCAGGCATTCCAGTTGATAAATTTTCTTGGAGAAAGTCAAGGCATTTACCCGCTTCTGTCTATTTACAATTGTTTCTTGGGTTATTGCGCCAAAGTGAAAAGTATAGATCATGCCAATCAATGTTTGGATCTGATGGACCGCAGAATGGTTGAAAAAAATCAAGTTACTTACGTGCAGCTTCTTAAGGTGTGTAGAGTTGAATGCTGTTATAATTTTCTTTTCATGTTCCTTGATTTCTCACTAGAATGTAGTCCCATTGCTTTGCAAGATTTGTCATGTAGAACGGAACCGATTGCTAATGTGAGTTTTTTGAATGATAAAAACTTCACGTTTCTGGTTACCATTCCAGATGAGTTTTAATCCCTCTCAATGCATTCTTTTGAACTTCTAGGAAACCTTTGTACATTTCTATCAACAGTCAGGCTCTGCTCGGTTCTGACTTACTTAGTTTGAAAGTGTCATAAAGTCAAACGTTAATCAATTCTTCTTTTCTTTCTTTCATTTAGCAGTTTGGAGGTTTAGGACTCCTTGTATGTTCGCTTCTAATTTCCCTAAGTTTCAGATTTTTACAAGTTCATGGCGGTTTCTTTTCATCCTAAAATTCTTTAACAGAGTCAAATCTGATGATGGTAGAATGCATGAGATAATAGATGATTAGGGATTGTTTAATTTTTTTTCCCCCTTAATTCTATCGCTCTCCCTAATTCTTCGATTCCTCTCTGTTTACCATCTCTCGTTCAGTCTATATTCAAATTCCATTAGTCCTGCATCATGTTACAGAGTCAAGCTCGTCAACGTATTAATTTGTTTTTAATTCTTTCTTTCAGTTAGCAGTTTGGCAGAAAGACCTGTTTACTGTCCAAGAAATGTGGAAAGAATGTATCTTGAAGTATAGTCCAAACATTATCTGTCTGACTCTGAGGAGATTTATCTGCTCCTTAGCTCGGTTGGGAGATCTAAAATCTGCTTATGAAGCTTTGCAGAAAATGATGGTTTTAGCCATCAGGGGTAGTACTTCTATCAGAGCTAGAGAGCCTGAGAATGTTCGAATAAGAACGCTGAATGTATACAAAAGAGAGCTTGTTATGAAGCGTTTGACGGCGTCTTTCAATGACATCATTGCTGCGTGTGCATATTTTAAAAATTATTGGCCTATAGAGGTTTTAATAGCTCAGGTGTGAGGTTTTGTTGTTTCAAGTTTTGTTATACAAATTGAAAGTGCAAGAATGAAATTTTATTTTTTTCTGCCTAAAGTTATTTTTACGATTCACATCTTGACCATAATATAGATTCTAAATACCAAATGTGATAATTCTTGCTCAAAATCACATTACTGCTCGGTTCAGCTACACGAAATTGCAATAAGAATGACGTGGCTTTTGCATCTTCTTTGCATTCTCTCTCTCTCTCTCTCTCTCTCTCTCTCTCTCTCTCTCTCTCTCTCTCTCTCTCTCTCTCTCTCTCTCTCTGCAGTGTAGAATAGGACTATCGTGACATTCACTCTTATATTTTGTTTGCTTTCAATTTGTTCAGAGCTTCATCTCTTTGAATTTTAAATACTCCTTGTCAGATGCAAATACTTGGGTTGCAACTAACGAGTCATCAATGCTATGGTTTGATTAAAGCAGCTGTTTCTAAGAGAGGTTTCAGAAGTGGAATGGAAGTGGTAACTTTTATTAGTTTTGTTGTATGCAGTTATTTCCTCCAACTGCTTCTAAATTGATTGCATTTTTTTGAATTAGATTATCACATTTAAGCTAAGCTAGAAACAATTTCAACTTGGTCTTTTGTGTGATTTGCAGTTGAAAATAATGGAGCGAAGAAACTTGGAAGTGAGTTATAAGATTCTTGCAACCCTTTCAATAAGTTGCAGTGAAGCATTGAAATTGGACTTGGCTGAGGCTATGCTGGATCAAATAGATAAATGTCCTTATGCACATCCTTTTAATGTTTTTTTTGCAGCATGTGATGCATTGGTGAGTTGAACTCTGACTTTTGGAATGCAAGTAAATTTTTAGTTTTCACATTTTCTCAAATTCCTTCCAAGTATATTTTTACTCACTTTAAGTTCTTCAATATTTTCAGCGTTTCAGGTTTTATTACTCTACCGTCAATCTAAAGTTGTTACACTTATTTTGCAGGACCAACCTGAACGTGCTTTGCGGGTCGTGAAAAAGATGAGAAAAATAAAACTTCCGCCAGATATAAAGACATATGAGGTTTTGTTTTCACTATTTGGAAATGTAAACGCGCCATATGAAAGGGAAAACATGCTGTCACAGGTGGATGTTGCTAGAAGAATAAAAGGTTTAGAAATGGATATGGCAAAATATGGGATCCAGCACAGTCATTTATCAATGGAGAACTTGGTAATTCCTATCCCCATTTTTATTTTTTTTTTATTTTGTTGTTTGGGAAACAAATTTGTCACGCTGTACAGGAGTTATCTACTTCGTGATAGACAATTGTCATTTGATGTGTTCTATTACGATGTGAGCACATGTTAGTTTCCACTTTGCTCAAGAATAAAATAATTAAAACAACTGTTTAGATGGTGTTAGTTCTTACAAGTGGTAGCTTTTTTTATGCCTAAATTTACTGATGCTAATTGGTGATAAACTGTTGGATGAACAAGTGTCTGCAATTGTGCTTATGTCTATGATGGAATGGCTGCGTTCTTCATTAACTTAACAATTTGGCCAAGTTTCCCGTGTTTGATACATTTTCCTCTTTAATTTTGACTTCCTATTATGTTATTTCACTTGCAACATGCTTTGAATTGATGATCTATCGTAGTTACATCTTTCCATGCTTACAAGTATTCAAATTGAGAAATTTGATTTTGTTTAGGTATGGGAAGCTTGGAGATGGATATTGTTTATAAGGATCAATGAAGTGAATGATGAGATACCTTATTTTTGTAGGTTCTGAAATTTGATGAAAATTTCCCTTGGTTTACACTTTCCATACTTCCCTTTACTTCCGATTCCTGCTATCATTGTTTATATTATCATGTGCGGACTTTAGCTAGTCTTTGTAGACCATCTTTTTTTTCCCTTTCCCAATCTCATATATATTCACAAGCCATTTATCTATTGTGTATTTACTCACCTTCTTCTCAGTTGAAAGCCCTTGGAGCAGAAAGGATGATAGAAGAGCTGATTCATTATTTACATGTGGCAGAGACCATTTTCAGTCGTAGCGGAACTTCTCCGGGGACACCCATCTACAATGTGGTGTTACAATCACTTGTTAATGCTAAGGAAGTAGGTATTTTGGAGTTTGGAACCGTGTTTCCTCTTCCATTTCCTATTTCGTGAGGGGTAGAATTACCTTATCCAGTAAGCTTTCTTCCTATTTGACATGCAGAGTCACATAGCAATAGAAATGTTCAAAAGCATGAAGTCATGTGGCATGTCGCTTACTGCAGCGACTTATAATATCATGATTGATTGCTGCAGCATTTTAAGATGCTTCAGATCTGCTAGCGCCATTCTTTCCATGATGCTCCGTGATGGGTTTTATCCAACGGTAGTGCATTTCACTACTCTCATGAAGGTATTTTTATACTCTGCTCCATCCTACAGATCATGTGCCTGGAAAACTGCGATATTCATATGTATGCAGTACGAATATGTTATTAATTAGAAGTCCCAATGTTGTTTTCCCTGAAATTGTCTTGCATAGTCTTAAATAACATCAATTTGTTTTGCAATTTGTTGCTTGATCGCATAACTATTTAAGACCACTATATAATCGTAACATGCTCAAGGTGTTTCTTTTTCCAGGTTCAGTTGGAAAATAGGAATTTCAGTGGAGCACTAGATCTTTTGGAGCAAGCTGGCTTAGAAGGAATTCAATTTGATGTTTTGTCGTTTAATATTCTTCTTCGGAGAGCATCTGAAATGGTACTTCTTTCTCCCTTCTAAGAGCATCAATCTGACTAATGTCAAAGCTTTGTTGCTTTAACGTGGAAATGAACCGGCAGAAATTAGCTCGGTGGTTAGACACTTGTAAAGATTGAGAACCATGACATAAAATTGCTTTAACGATGGTGATGCTGAACATTGGCAGAAAGAGTTGACACTAGAACATTCTGTTATAGTCCACAACATTTATCGGGTCACGAGTTATTCTCTTATTGTTGCTTCATATTTATTGATATTGCTTTTCTTACATAAATATCAGGGAATGATTGATGTGGTTGAGTTTGTTGTTGAGCTAATGCACCAAGAAAACATCAAGCCCGACCCATCAACCTGTGAATACGTGTTCCGTGCGTATGTCGATTGTGGTTTTCACAGCACAGCCATGGAAGCATTGCAGGTGTTGATCATGCGTATGTTATGTAAAGAATCTGGCGGCAGTCTTCCAGAACAAGAAAAGGAACTCTGGGACGATCTTGTCCTTGCTGAGGACGAGGAAGCCGAGTCAAGGATACTCCAGCTGTTTGAAAATTTTGAGGAGGACCGTGCTGTTGCTTTTCTGTGTTTACGATGGTCTGACATGCTTGGTTTTTCAATGTCTTCGTCACCTGATCATAGTCCATGGGCGAAAAGACTCTCAACTAAATATGGTACCTGGAAATGACCCACTTGACACAAATTGATGCTGTTCTTACCATTTCAAACGGGCGTTTGCAAATTTGGTTTTACAAAGCGGAGAGAACTACTTGGTTGAAAGTAACTAGGATTCTGGGGCGACAAGTTCCTTTGATGACCCTTAGGCAGAATTAGCAGTGTCATTACATTTTGAATGACTCGCATTAGGAAAATACCATCTTCAATCTGGTGGGATGTCAGTCGGATTGGTTTACCTTTTTTTCTTTTTTTTTTATCATAATTATTTTTTTAATGTTGTGTATTTTTCCACAATATGTGGATTAAATTTTGAGATGTAACATATTTTAGATCTTTTTTTTGCAGATTCTCTAGACCATATGTATTATCTAGGTGGTAAGTAAATCCAACATTTACCTGTGTTAAAGTATTTCTTCTGTTTTTAAATTATTCCGAAATTATACCCATAAGTTTTTCAAAAGAAGTAAAATATAATCTTTTAAGTGATTAAATTGTTTAAAATGACATAAATAACCTTAATGATCAATATTTAAACATCATCCTAAAAACTAATAACTAAGAAACTAAATTTAAAGAAAAAAAGATAAAATTCCAATAAAATAAATTCTATGTTTTTGAAAAAAAAAATTAAAAATTTAGTCGATCAAATTGGTCTAACTTCACATAAAATCTTGCGCCCTCGCCATTGATACACAATTAGTAGAATTAGACTTGTCAAATTAGTCTCATTTTTACACTTAATATTGTCCTGCAGTCATTCGAACATGTTGGCTCTTTTGTTTTCTTGATTTTATTTAGTTTTAAAAATTACGTTTTAAAAGATGCTGATTGATTGGGTTAATGTCTAAAAACAATCTAAATAATACTTATTGAGGTTATTTTTGGTATCTCAAAGATGTTGATTAATTAAAGAGTTATTTGTTTACTCTTTTGATAAACGTAGGGAATAATTTTGATAATCTAAAAACCTAAGGGATACTTTTTAAATTACAAAAACACAGGGTAAATGTTGGATTTAGCCAAAACTTAAGGGATACTTTTTCGATTTTCTGTAACATGATTCGAGGGTTTCCAATTTCCAAAGGCGCAACCAAAATAATGAGTAGTTAAATAGTTTAATTTTGTTAAAGGTAACTATTCCTTTGTTAATAAAATTATTTGCTAGTACAACCATACATTTTTGGGGACATTAGTTTGTTACGTAACAATTGTCGTGAGTTTTTTTATATATTTATAATATTTGAAACCTTTACACATTCTCTAGGCGGTTCATTAATAAAGAAAAAATAAAAAACCACGACATAAATAATAAACTTGTATAAAATTATAACAAATTATGTACTTTTTTTTAAAAGATTGTCTTGGGGCCCAGCATTTTTTTATTTTTTTTTTGGCTTGAAACTTGATGCAACTATTTTACTTGCAAGTGCAACGGCTGATAATCAGATTGAGAAAGTTCACAATAGTCAAACGATGGTAAATGGTTTGATCAAATCCGTTTTTCTGGTTTTGACAAGCTCAGAAATTAATTGTTTTCGGTGTTGTGTAAAATTCATCAAACTCTGGAAATATATCTGGTAAGCTAACAGTGTGGCGTGCAAAAAACCTCGCCTCATCATCCTTCTGTTCGAATCTAAGCTACCTCAAATTAGACGAATACAAATTCGTCGCATATAGTAAATCCAGCATAAGAAAGCTATAACCATCGCTCTGCTTTAGGCTTATCGCGTGATGATTATGAAAAAATACTAGGGCCACCAGCGGTGTCGCCTAGCGCGACGCTAATAGAAAATAGGTCTCATAGTTGGGACTCAATAAGAATAATTTTTCTATTAGTTGTGGTGCTCAATACAGGCGGTGGTGCTCCTGATCATTTTTCTGTAGCTATAGACTTGTCTGTTTATAAGGTTTCTCCAGGAGGCAACTCTTGAAGCTTTGGAGGAGTGCCAAGAATTCGTTCCATGTCAAAGCTAACTTCAATGTTACGTATGCTGTACCCAACCACCATCAGCCAATAAAGCAGCTTTGCAAGTTCAGGTGCTGTCGTCTCTGTTGCTCTTGTCTGCAACCACAAATAAGAGTAGGAACATCTAAAATAAATAAATAATAATAATAATAGAGAGAGAGAGTAAGAAAGATTGCACTGAAATAAGACAGAAGAATAGTGGTTCTTAGACTCTTAGAACATGTTCAAAGGAAATAGTAAAAAGGGATGTCATTGAAGTTAGGAAGTGGAATTGGAAATCAAGTCTTTCTAGGATCATAAGTGCTAAAATGTCCTTGAACATGTTAATAATTGGCTAAAATTAGTAAGGTTGTAAAAGTAATTTTGCGGTTTATTTCAAGGGATATTGGCTCTTCTTTTTCTCATTCCTAGCATCATGCCGTTCATATTAAATTAGGATTACTGATTTTGCAAGTGTTTATAAGCATGCCCTTTATGCGAAGATTAAGGTGTTGAGTGAGGCAAACCTTCATTTGGTCAGGATCTGAAACAGCCAAAAGCCGCTTGATGAATGTATTCATTGCGAGCACAACATCTTCACCAGCACTACTTGTCAAGTCCTACAAAATCGAAGATGTAAAGTTGGAGGCTCGTACTTGTAGAAACATTTGGGCACTCTTCCTATTAACTTTCATACACAAATAGTAATGTCCCATTTCCAACTCTTATCATAGAACACTTGTGAATTAAAGAGGGGAGTAGGTAAATGATCATGAAACTATTCATTAAGAGAGACGAGTCGTCTTAAAATCTTTCCCCAACCAGCCAAAATCTCATCTAGAGAAGGACCTTCATTGTTCAGCCTCAATACATTTTCATTGTGATGAGGAAACATCAAAGTTTTCAATTAACTTTCTTTACCTTCAGATTTTGGGGCTCAAGAGACTTTAGATACTCCAACAATTCATTTTGTCCATTTGCAGTTTTTCTGCCAACTTGGCGATTCAATTCTTCAATCTCTGCTTCAAGTAGCTCAATATATTTCTTAGCATCTATTTTCTCGGGTCCAGAAACATTATTCCACCGAATAACTTCACCCGATACGTTCTTCTGGGTTCCAGGTGCATAATCCGGTACATCCTGACGAATCACTGGGTCATGTTAATGCACCAACTAAATTTGAATCAGGTACACATCAAACTGTTTGCAATAGTTTATACAAAGAATAAATCCAAGGAATACCAATTACAAAGTTGTACCGGAAGCATATGGAATGAACAGAGAGCTTATCCTTGTGAGAAATGACAATACGATTTCGGCCAAATGCAAGCAACAATCAATATATGTATGGAAAATTGGAAATCATGCCTGAAAACAAGCTTTAATTGTGAGTAAAGAAAACAGATTCCTCCAAAGAGAGTAGCTCAACGGTCCAATATGTTATATGGTAAAAACACTACCAACGCCATATCCCATGAAATCAGTTGAAAATCCATTTTTTTAAAAAGTGTGATAAGAAAACCATCAGCTGGAAAACTTGAGAGTTAATTTAAACCGTAAGAATCTCTTGTTCAATAGAGGGAAATGAGCATCATTTCACTAAAAAAACGATGTCCACCAGTGTTTCGCTATAGGGAGTAGCTAAGAAGTAATAAGAATAAGTACCTTCTCATCTTGCACCTCCGGAAGAGCAACCTGCTCCAGACTTTGTTGCAGTTCCAAACGGTATTGCGCGTTCTTAAACATATATCCGGTCATCATGACACTGTACATTAGCTGCGCTAGATTCTCAGCAACCTGAAGTACAACTCAAAATCATCAAAAAGAACTTCGTAAACACTTAAAACAAGAACAAAATATAATCACACTAACTAGAAAATACACTCACAGTTGTAACCGCCACTGCAAAAAATTGCGGGGGCAGTGTTCCTATCATGTTCGTCACTGTTTGGCGCATCGCATCGACTACCTAATTGCCCATTTTTTTTCAAGGTTCATTTCCACCGTGACACATTATTAGCTCAAACAAACATGAATAACTACTTTTCTTGCATTAAAAGTAACCTTTGCAGGAATTATTAAAAAAAAAAAAAATGTTACTTATGTGTGACTTGTATTATACTTGAGATAAATAACTATAATAAAGATATCTCTTTTTGTGCCAAAGACAACAACTAGAAAATACCTGTTGGGGAGCTCTTTTTACAAACAATTCCATGAATTCTGGCTGAACATTTTTGACATACTCCAGTAGGATTTCTCTCCTGCTCTTCGGCTGTAAATTTCAAACCCAAAAAAAAAAAAATTTATTCGAAACTAAAAACTACTACCAAATACATCCTACAAATCTAGCCAAAAAAAAAAAAAAGAGGGGCAAAAGGGTAAAAAGAAAAATACTAGAGTTCCATTGGGGAGCTTGGAATCGCCATTGTCATTGGGAGTGTCGCTGTTTGAAGAATCGTAAGCTTGAATTCTCAAAGCTAATCTTCTTCCTCCAACACTTTTTGTCTTCACCGGAAAACCAATCGAAGAACACAACCGAAGACAACAATACGAAGAAGAAGAAGAAGAAGAAGGAACGGAAGGTGAAGATTTAGGGAGGATTACGAAGGACGGTTTTACTGTCACAGAATACATATCTGGGTTTGAATTCAAAAAAAAAAAAAAAAATTGATTCTTTGAGTGCAAAGAGAAGAAGACAATGGAAATTTTTTTTGTTTTCTATTTTCTCGCCATTAGCAGAGAGTCCAAGCAAAAGCTTGTCCGTTGAAGAAGCTCAAAAGCTCAAAAGAGGAGAGAGTCCAAGCAGGATTCCAAGAGATGAGGGTGTTCGCACTTATCGCACGTGTAAGAGTTTCTCTTCACTTCACTGCCACACTCTATTTTTCGTTGAAGAAGACGATTGTACTTCTTACCTTTGCTTTGATCTTGTCCGTTGAGTACAATACGTGGGGTCCACTTGTGCGGAACACCATGTTCCCTATCGTATTGGATTGGATGAGAAATACTAACACAGATCACGACCACGTGCAATGCATGTGGGGGAGATAGATGAAAAATCTTTTTATCTTTTCTAAAAAAAGGAATTAATTTAATAAATACCCTTTAATATTATACATTGTTTCAACATGCTCTCTTAATTTGGAAAATGATTCAATTTACCTCTTAAAATATAAAAAGTAGTTCATAACACCTCCTAAACTGATGTTTTTTCATAAATACCTCTTGAATTATCGATTTTGTGTCAATTTACCTCCCAATCTTTTAAAAAATTATGGGATAAGTTGACACACAAATAATAATTAAATGGGCGAGCTGACTTAAAATTAATAGTTTTGAGAGCATTTATAAAAACATCAGCATGTCATGTCATTAGATATGAAATTTCAGGCCGCCAGCCCAACCTGGCAACCCGAATGGGCTCGACCCATTATTTTTCACTAGGTTGGGCTAGGTCAACCCTAAAAAGAGTATGATTGGCCCTGTCCGACCCGAAATTCACAAGATATTTTTAATAAATTTTTTTTTAAAAAAAAGTCTTCGAATCGGCATGGCCCAGCCCGAATAAGGTTTCAAGTTTAAAATCTAGGCTCAGCCCAGCCTAGAGTTAGGGTTGGGTCGAGATCGAACCAATAGTGCCGGCCCTCGGCTCAGCCCGTGTAGTCCGGCTTAAAGTTGCAGCTCTACGTATCATTATTTTGTTAATTTTATAAATGTATGGACATTTGAAACTGAAGTACATACTTACGAGGGCGAAAAGAACTCTTTTCAAAGTTGAAGAGGTATGTTAAAACAAAATACAAAGTTGAGAGAGCATTTATGAAATTTATCCAAAAAAAAAATACACACGCAAAAGGAGTACAAGAAAAATGAGAAAAAAAGAAAGAGGCCGTGCAAAATAATGCAATTGTGTTAATCAATATAATTATACTTCTTCATTTTTTTTCCAAGCTGTTCCTCTATTTTTATACACTATAAATATATTTTTCGCACTTAAAAAATTTAGTTTAATTTTTATATTTATGTATTCTATTAATAGAAAGGTAGCAAAAAAACACGACTACTATTAAATAGTTTATGAAGAGTATTTTATAAATTTAGGAAATTTAATAAAGCCCTAAAAAATCATTAAATTACTTTAAAAAGATCATTAAAATTTTTTTTTTTTAAAAAAGGAATTGAGTTTTATGTTTTTTACGTGTTAAATACCTTTTAAAATTAAATTTGATCTTAAATACTTTTTAAAATTAAATTTGATCTTATTAAGGGTATTTTTATCTTCTTTAACATATATATTTACATAGTTTTTAAAAATAGAGGATTAAATTGAGAAATAATGAAAACTATAAAATATGTAATTAACCTTGATTTCAGCAATTCAGGAAAAAAAAAAAAAAAAAAAAACCCCTTTGTATTCAGCAAGAAAATATAATGTGGATAGCCAAAATTAATGTCCGAGAGAACGTTAGATTATTACAAGGCATGGTTGTCGTTTTCGCTGCGGCTCTCTAAAAAATAAAAAATAAAAAAATGGGGGAGATTCTCAGACAACAGCCCCCCCCCCCTCTCTCTCTCTCTCTCTCTCAGACAATGTTGGAGCTGTCGTAGCAGAGATTGATTTGCATCTTTTACCTTTTCTTTCTTCTCTCTCTTTCAAACCAAACCAAACAAAGCGAGAGAGAAAGAACAAATGCTTATTAAACCCTAACATTCATTCATTGTTCATACATACATACATACATATATATATATATATATATATATATATATAAGTCGCTCTCGGCTATGGCGTTTCACCGGCGGCGCAACCACTACTCGCACCGCTTTCGCTACGTCCTTCCGGTTATCTCCGTCGTCTCCGGCACTCTTCTTGTCCTTCTCGCCATTCTCTCTTTCCTCACTCCTTATCCTATCGATTCTGATAACCTCCGCCACCGCGTTCACCGCCAACGTTCTTCGGTACTCTCATTTCATTTTCTTCTGCGTCTTGAATTCCGAATGCGACCTTTTTATTTGTTTGTTTGTAGATTTGTATTTGTTTTTAATTACGTTTGATGATTTTGGTTCAGTATAATGTTGGCGTGGACGATGCGATTGGACCTACGGTGTTCCGAGTTCCGGTTAGGGTTCTGTTTTTCTGTGATTTAGATTTTGGTTTTTTTTTTTCAGATCTTAATTGTCTCTTTTCTTTTTGCTCCTGTGATTTGTCGATTCTTTTGAAAATCAGAGCAATGGAAGGAAATTGGATCGCGATCTTTGGACTTCTAGGAATTCCAAGTACTTTCATGGATGTAGCAATGCTAGCAACAAATTTCTGAGTGCGTATTCCTTGTTTTTTTTTTTTTTCTCTCTGTTGTATTAGAAATTGTACTCAAGGTTTCAAATTTGGAACGTTTCTTTTATTCTTTGCATGCTAAGATGAAGATCGTCAATCTCGATGAAAACGGAAAATAGGATGAAGCTCCCTTCATGATTAAAAGTTTTGAATTTGCATCAGTATGACAGTATCCTTTTCATAATCATAAACGGTAGAAGTCTTAGTACACGTTATACTATGTTCCCAATTCTCATTCATATCTAGTCCAGATTGAGTAATTGCTTCCCCTAGATGTGCACCTGTACCTGTCTGTTCTAAGCACTATCCCGCAGAATGTGTGGTATTATTATTATAATCGAAACCGCCCTTGGGGTTATATGACACAGATTATGCTCTAACAGATTTATAGTAACACGATCTTAGGAATGGTTAATGATTGATTTGGTTTGTAGATACCGGATATTGTTTGATCCTAAGGTCTACGTTCTTTATTCCATGTGCAGAATCTGAAGCTATTATGCATCCTAATAGATACTTGGCAATTGCAACCAGTGGAGGCTTAAACCAACAAAGAACTGGGGTAACTTTCTTGACTTGTCACTTGTGAATCATGTACATTGTGAGGAGGAAGGAAAAAAAAAAAAGAAGAAAACTTTGAGAAAATATTTGTTTTGCTCCTCATCAAGTTGTCAGAGAAACTAAGTGTTTACTGGGTCATCTTATCATATCAAGTAAGGCCTAGCGTGAATCCAAAGGATTATAGAATGTTTTGGTTTTTATCAAGCTTGAGAGCATATAAATCTAGCAGGAAAAAATTAATTGAAAGATATTCAGAATCTGGAAAGGGTTTCATATAGTTAGGTCGTACTTCACACTGCCTGTTTTATTTGCTTGTTAGCATCCAACAAATACTGATCGGAATTTTGATAATTGGGAGGAAAAATGAAAAATAGATCTTAATCATTTTTTATTTATATATTTAGAATTAAAATAATATCATAGTTGCTTGTCTTAATGTTGCGATTGCCGTTATAAGATCACTCTGCAGTTGTCTAACTGTTGGTTATGAAGCAACAGAGCACATTTAACTCAAATCTTTGTCAGATTACAGATGCTGTTGTCGCTGCACGTATATTGAATGCCACTCTTGTTGTTCCAAAGTTGGACCAGAAGTCTTTTTGGAAAGATGCTAGGTAGTCACGAAATGATTATATTTGCTCCACCTTTCTTATTTTTCAAATATAGCAAGCTGAATCTTTGGAAATAGAGTACATATTTCATTGGTCAGCTCCAGAGCTAAATAGTTTTTCCTCTTCTTTTCTCCCCATTTTTGATTGCAGCAACTTTTCTCAAATCTTTGATGTCAATTGGTTTATATCATTTCTGGCAAATGATGTTAAAATCGTGAAGGAGCTGCCGAGAAAAGGAGGGAAAACATGGACCCCATATACCATGCGTGTTCCAAGGAAATGCAGTGAGAGATGTTATAATAATCGTGTTTTACCTGTTCTTTTGAAAAGGCATGTAAGTCTTAAGTTCTCAAAACGCAGAGTCTTCTCCCCATCATTTTCTTTCCAGATACAAAGTCTATAATCTGTATTGGAAATATTATGAAAATGGTCATTTGAACAAGTTCTTGCTGTTTTATATTACTCTTAAATTTTTTAATTTGTGATATTTTCTTCTTATGAAAAGGTCACTATGCCATCAATGTCAAAAAGAAAAAATCCTGGGTTTGCTGGACATTTATTGATTTTCATAGTTGTTGAGGTGTTTTGAGTATTTCGCCCCCCGTGTTTTTTCTCCCTACGCTCCTTATCGTTCTGAGCATTAGCATTAATATCAGTGTAGCTCTTTTTCTTTTTCTTTTTTTTTCTCCTTTTTGTATAATGAATATTAACTTGTTAGTGTGTTTAAAACTATTGAATCGTGTTATGGAAGAGTTTGAAGTTTTATTTTCCCTCGACTTGCCATGCTTTCTGTTCTTGAATTGTCTCGAATAAGTATCTTGCAATTACAGTTCTTCTTCTTCTTTCATCATGATGCTCTTATCTAGCAATTTGAAAGGTGTCTAAGGATCTTCATTCTGCAACAGGCTGTTCAGCTTACCAAGTTTGATTATAGACTTGCAAACCGGTTGGACACTGATTTGCAAAAGTTGAGATGTAGGGTTAACTACCATGCTTTAAAGTTTACTGATCCAATAAGGAAAATGGGTGAAAAACTAGTACATCGGATGAGGATGAAAAGCAACCATTATATTGCATTACACCTGAGGTATTCTGATTTTCTTATGTCATTCTTTTGGCTCTGAATTTTAAATGTTGGCTTGTGCATATACACACACGTATACTAATACATGTATGTAGAAACACATTTCCTCATCGCTAGTTATACTTATGCTTTCACATGTATACTGCATGAGTATAAATTCTCATTTTTCTTTTACACGATCTGGCAAGTGTCTGCATTTTTTTTTTTCTTTTTCTACTGATGCACGCTTATTATAATGAGAGGGAAATGGCATACTTAAATTTTTGGAAAAAAGCTGATTTTTTACATTCCCGAAGTTGCCACTTATGAGAGTCGTCTGTTGAAAATTATCTTGGTCCAATCATGTTTACTTTTGCAGGTTTGAGCCTGATATGCTTGCATTCTCTGGTTGCTATTATGGTGGAGGTGATAAGGAGAGAAAAGAGTTGGGTGCATTACGAAGGAGGTGGAAAACTTTACATGTAAGGCTAAAGTGCTCTACTCGAATTATCTAAGCTAAACCCTTGGAAATATTGATTCACAGTACATAAAGAAAGAATAACAAGCACAAATAAAGCAACAATTCAATATCAAGAACACAGTTGTTTCCTTCGTGAGATGATATAGAGTTTAATGTTTTAATCTGTGAATTTGATTCGATTTCCGTTACAGACAAGCAATTCTGACAAGGAAAGGAGGCACGGTAAATGCCCACTCACCCCTGAAGAAGTTGGTCTGATGCTGAGAGCATTGGGTTATGGCAGTGATGTTCATATTTATGTGGCATCTGGAGATGTATATGGAGGAGAGGAGACATTGGCACCGCTAAAAGCATTGTTCCCTAACTTCTATTCCAAAGAGACAATAGCCTCCAAGGAGGAGTTAGAATCATTTTCTTCATTTTCTTCTCGTATGGCTGCTCTTGATTTTATAGTTTGTGACAAAAGCGATGTCTTTGTTACTAACAACAACGGTAATATGGCCAAAATATTGGCTGGACGAAGGTACAAGATCTGTTTGTATTTCCTCATGCTTTCTTATTTTTTTCCTCCTTTTACCTGCACGTTTACTTGTCTTTTCTGCTAATACAGGAGATATTTTGGGCATAAACCAACCATTCGTCCCAATGCTAAAAAACTTTACCGATTGTTCTTGAGCAAAGAAAACACGACATGGGAAGCATTTGCCTCTAAAGTTCGTACTTACCAGAGAGGCTTTATAGGAGAGCCGAATGAGGTGAGGCCTGGCAGGGGTGAGTTTCACGAAAACCCATCCACCTGCATATGTGAAGATTCCGTGGCCAAAGAAAAAAGAGATTCCGGACCTAGAAAATATGGTAAGGCAGACAATGCAACAAGGAAAGAGGAAGTGTTTGACGACCAAAATGTGGATGATGAACCAGATTGGCCTGAGTCTGAGGATGATGATGATCAAAGTGGGCTTCAAGAGAAAGGCATTCTTGATGGAATAGGTTTGGACAATGATGGAGTCACCTCTGAGGAACCTGAATTAGAGGATATGCTGTCAGACTAAAGAAAACCACCTGGTCCTGGGCCAAGAGTTTGCGGCTGCAGTTTTCCAAAATGTATTACCATGCGTCCACCGTCTTGTATATAACACCAGAAGAGAAATTTGTTAGTGTCCATTTAACCTGGGGCGCTTGTGAAAGCAAAGACATGACATTGACAAACATCCTAGTCGTCCGCGAGGTATGCGCTGGTCTGTAGTTTGTAGTTGAAGAGCGAAGAGCTAAAAATAATGTTGAGCGTTCAATCTTTGCGGCGAACCAAAGGGTATGAGGTTAATCACAGAATGAGGTAATGGAATCAACTTTTGCATAGAAAAGCAGCTTCTAATCAATTACAAGCAGCTTCCCACAAGTTGAATTTGTGTTCTCCCTTTTTCCTTTACATTAGTTTAGAATTTATTTCATGGGAAATGATGAGCGTCCGTGGCGTATAATTAGGTTAGAAGATTCCTTTGTAATGGTTTTGGTTCTTTTGTATTTTTATATTTTAAATTGGTTGTGCATTGAAAACTCTTTTCAATCCTGAGCTGATCAATGAATTGCTCTTTATTGTTTTTGTGGGTGCGGACTGTGTAGGGGCCAAGGGCTAGGAAATAAATTGTAGGTTTAAATAGAAATTTAAACTGAAATTCCAATTTTTGCGAGATTAAAGCACTGTAGCAGCGATGCAATCCAGGAAATACCATTTTAATAATAGAAAATTTAAACTGAAATTCAAATTTCGTGTACAACACGTCTGAGATACCAAACAGAACCAAATAAACTTGGATTTACTAAGAGAATTGTCAACTTAGTGGGTGCAGCAATTGGATGAAATATACGTCTGAGGTACCAAAAAAGGAAAATAGAATCGCTTGAGAAGAAGTTACAAAAGCTGAAGTAGGCTCAGGAATTAGAGGAAGAATGGAAGAAGTAATTACATAAAATGTCTACTATGAAAGGCTTGAACTTAAAAGTCTACTGTATACAATATTACAAAAATATCTACTTGTGCTAATTTGTAACCTTAGAATTCAATCCTCATTACTCAGGGCATAAATTGGATTAATTCACCATTGTTTTGACTTGTAACATCCCCATTCAGCAGCCTGCAAATAGAGGCTTCTTTCGGCCATTTTAGAGACAACAAAATTCAGAAGCACTTGTTCTTTCCGTGTGTTTTCCACTTTTAGAGTCATTAGGAGCTCCGGTGATAGAGTGAAGACACAGTTAGAGTTCGCTAGAGTGGTTCTTTCGTGTTGAAATTCTGCTCACCGCTGTTATTGTTAGGGATGACAATAATCTCCACGGGGATCGAGATAGGGATGGAGACAAAATGTAGTCTCCAATTCATGGTAGGATGGGGACGGGGAACTACTCCTCACCCCACCTCCGCTCCGATATGAATGTACTATTTTTTATTTAAATATATATATATGCACACACATAATCTCTTAAAATTACTTTTTACTTAAAAAAGAATAACTGAGCTTTTTTAATTGAGAAAGGGAAACTACTGATTATAATTCCTTATACCAGGAAAAAAGGACAATTACCAATCTTCTCATATATATTGTATATGCACATGAGGATGCACTGCCTAGTGCCTCCTCATCCTCTTTTGTACCTAGAAGGATAATTACGTTTTTGTTTTGATATTTTTAAATTTTTTTGCTTATGTATTGGTTATTACTTTTGAATTCAGCTGACAATATATTAAGAATTTTGTTTTTATTATGGAACCTTTCATTTTGGTTTAAATTTATAATAAAATTTTACTCTATTTTTATTTTAAGTCGTTATAATTTTAAAATGCATAGTTCTACATGATAAGGAATTGAGCAGGTATGGAGAAGACTCACCCAATGGGGAATCTCCGACTCCGACCCCACCCCTTCTTATGCGGGGATGGGGACGGGGATGGAAATAATCTTAGGGGGATGAGAAATAATCCTCAGCCCTCACCCCGCCCTATTGCCATCCCTAATCGTTATATACTGGGAGACAGCCGCTTGTTGAATTCTCAAGCACCTGTGAAAAGGACAAATCTATGTTAAGAAAACTGTAAGTTTCACAGACCTCGACGTTCTGCTGGCTTCAAATCCAATTTCAATTTAGGGTTGAATTTCTGGTTGTAGTGTTTGTTTACTCGTTGAAATTTTATGCTAATATTAAAATACATGTTCGATTCTATTATTTTGCTATATTTATTAACAGAAAGAAATGTTTTTTTGGCTTTTTAATTCGTCAATAAACCCAAAAATAAATCAAAATGAGGGGGGAAAGGGGACAAATAAGAGAGGGAGTTTATATGTACATTTCCTCTATGGGTAGGGCACGTAAAATTGCAGTTGACCACTTCAAAATGGTAGGAGATGAGGGAACATTGTGTTTCTAGATGCAGGGTAGTACTATAGTGTAATAATCTGTCACGTGGTGCACAATCAGATTGGACAAAGTTCTAATGAACACGTGACGGACCAAGTAAAATTTTTTTTTTTCCCAGTTTTAAAATGTACAAATATAAATTGATTAAAATTTTGAATTAGGGAAAGTGATAGAATGTACCGGAAGTTGATACCTCAGAATAAATTTTTATCATTGCACTGTCATGGCAAGAATGTTAACCCAATGGTCGCTCCATTTTGAGAGCGTGTTCTGCACGCCCAAATCTGGTCCGTCTCAATCGGTAGATTTTAGTAATTGAGTTCAACTGTTTAAGTCGTCCTTTTCATTTATAAGCATATGCATAGGTCAATTTAAGGCACGAAAGCGGGCTCCGTTATTATTATTTCAAAAAGTTTATTAACTGTGTGTATAAGACGTTTGGTTGGACGATTTAAATCATATGATTTAAATTATTTTTTTATTTACGTGTATTTTTTATGAGAGAAAATACTGTAGCGAACTACGAATCAGGGAACGAATCCCTCTACTAAATATTTTGCCAATTTTCAAATTTAACCCTTGAAAAATAATAGTTGTTTGATTTTCATATTTTGTTCCTATAATTTAACGGAAATTTTTTTTGTATTCTTTACTTATCAGCCGTCAGATCTATATTTTTTTTTAATCTGATTCAACTTTTGATTAGATTTGTGTTAAGTTTCTAGTGACGCTTTGGTTTTAGCAACCGTTTTTTCACTTTTTGTGATGACAAGTGTAACACTCACTTAATATAATTCTATTTACCCATCTAGTCATATTAAGTAGTGTCACTTTTTTTCCTTCTCTTAAATTTAACTTAAATGTGCTAAATAAAAAATATTGACAAATTTAAACTTTTAAAACTTCATAACTAGTAAAAACTTCAAAACATAAATGATAGAACCCAATATAACATATCTCTCAAAAATAGGCTCAATTGTATACTGTATCCGCCCTTATAGGCTCACAAACCATATCTACAATAAAGGCCTCCAAAATATAGGTTAGCTAATCCATATACATTAATCTCGATCCTCAGGAGTGCGCCAGCTAACTGTCTAATTCTAACTAATGCTGGAAGTGTCATCGTCTGCATCACCATTAACTGAGTGGGCCAAAACTCAATAAGTAGAATAATGCATGACATAGCAATAATGAAAATATGCATGACTTTATGAATTGATAACATCTTTAATTTCACTTTTCATTCTCTCTCTTCTATCTTATGTGTGCATTTAGGGTTTCTTAGATGGGGTAGTATCCAAGATACCTCATCGAACCTTGTGGCCACAAAATGAATATAATATCAAATGTTGTGGTGTGGGGCAATAACAAATAAACATTCTCTATCTCCTCCGTGATCATCGAGGAAGCTTCCCACACCGCAAAGGTCCATTGACCTAATGATCACAAATATATTAATATAAAATGCTATCATGTGGAGCAATAACATTTATATATCTCTCTATCTTCTCCGTGATCATCGGGGAAGCTTCCCACGCCGCAAGTCTCCACGAGACAAAAAGGTCCGGCAGTCTCCCATCGAAACATAAAACCCGTCACAAGTCACTTATATATCATTTAAACTCACTTATATACTCACTTACCACTTAACATACTCAATGCCTCGTATCTTTCATCATGTCGTGTATGCATGCTTATGCCATCACCAACAACATGAATTTCATATGCTCAATTATCACAAACTTTAGAACACATAACATATGCGCGACTTTTATGGTGATATAGGTGAAATTCTACTTACCTTGTGTCTTCGAACTATTATGGAGGCTCTTTGGTATCCTCTTGGGGGATCCAGTGTTCCACACGCCTATGAAATATCAAATATTTTACTCACATTATTGCCCTGCCAACAATAACTAATATGCATACATTAAGGAGCTCATTTTCCTAATTTAAACCTTCATTCAACCTTAAGTCTATTTCTAACTTTTTAAATCATAATAAACCTTAAAAGTAGAATTAAATTAGACTCACGAGTGAAAGTAAATGAAAAACGAAATAAACCCCAAATTTTGATGACTTTTATAATTTTCCTAATTTTTAATTATTTAATTAATAATAATATTTTAATTATTTTACTTCATATTTATGAAAATATGAGTTTACAGGTTTCAAACGCTTCAACGGTGTCTAAGAGAGGGGGCGAGGGTTCAAAACCCCAAACTAGGCCAATGCCTAGTCTGGCCGAGGGCAGGATTGCTAAATAAGGCATATATAATACCAAGTCATTATTTTCGTAATGAACATATAAAAAAGAACAATATCAATTTTCACCATGTCATTATTATAAAATTAAAACAGTTAAATTTACATTTATTTTACTCGTATCATTATGATAATTACATTATCATTATGTTGATGCCGATTCTCTTCTTTTACACATACTGAAATTTATAAATCTTTATCATAATTACATTATCATTATGGTAATGATGATTTTCATATTTGTTTTGTGATATCTTTTTTTTAATAAGTTATTTTTATCTTCTATGATTCTTTGCATCCGAATTTCTTATAAAATTTTGAATTTCTTTTATATCTTTTTTTATTTATGTGTTTTGTAAAGAAAGATTTCATTAAATGAAATAATTTGATTTTTTTTACAATGAAATAATTTGACTTTCGTATTTAAAATTGGATATTTTATATCCAGATTTTATTTTATTACCTTTCATATTTTGATGATTCATTTTTTTTTCCTTTTTCATTATATGAGGACATAAAAGTCTTTATATGTGTAGTAGAGGATATTTTTGTAAATAAATAAATTAGTAGACATTTTTAGATTCAATGTGTTTTAAGTAGACATTCCTGTAGATGACCCTATTTTTAATCAGAACTAGACGTTAGTCTAAGACTAAACTGGTTTTATTTTTAAATCATTTGTAATTAAACGCTGAGAGGGGAACCTAGGCTTTAAAATTTGTTTAGGATTCACAAGATAAACCCACCACAAAAGCATCTCATAACGCTTGATACAACACAACGGCACTTATGAAGATTTGATTTGACTAGTCAGCAATTAAGAATGCAATTATGTGACGTAGAACATCATTTTCAGTGAGAAAACAGGTTGTTTAGATGGATTCCTTCTAACAT